AAAAAAAATAGACTACCTTGATTGCTTGATATTATTCACATATTGAAATACCGACAGAAATAGCAAACCATAGATACATGCCAAAAAACGCCGCTTGCTACATGATGACTTTGATGCAATCCCTTCCACCCTAAACTTTTGCGTGCCAAGGCAGGCCTGGCTCTGAGTAAGCCATCTGCTTGATAACTAGACAAATATACAGACATCAGATAGCAGACGTATAGTCTGTCGTAATGAGTTTTTCTCATGGCGCCCATGCTCTCGTGCACTACCAGGCGAGGTCGTTTGTGAGAGTAAGCTTCTCCTTCTCCTTCTCGTCCTGGCGAAGACGCTTGTTCTTCATCTTGATAACGCGGCCACGCTTTCTCTTGTTGCTCTTCTTTTCCGTCTCGTCTTCATCGCTCTCATCTTCGTCATCTTCCTCTTCCTCCTCGTCCTCCTCGTCGCTCTCGAGCCAGTCTTGCAGATCGTTGAGCTCCTCCTCGCTCTCGTCCAGGTCGGACACATACTCGACAGCCTTTTCGCCGTCCTCGAGTTCGCTGTCAAGCTCCTCCTCGTCCGAGTCAATGCCCTCGTCCATGTCCTCGTCGCGAACACCGTTGCCCTCGCGCTCCATGGCGTTGAGGACCTTTTTCCAGATATCCTCGCTGACATTGAGTGGCTGCTCGCCGTATGCGCCCTGTCGTAGACGCTCGAGCAGCTCGCGCTCAATGGTGCGCTCCAGCTTGGCAGCAGCCTCGGCCTTGCGCTCGCGCGCACGCTCGCGGTGCCTGATCTTGGGCGCCAGCTTGGGCACCAGCTTCTCGCCGAGACGCTCCTCCTCAGCGGCGATGCGGCGCATGCGAATCTGCACCTGCGTCAGGCGAGTGAGACGCTGTTTGCATTTGTGCGTGAGAAACTTGGGCCAGTAGATGAGGCGCTCGTCAATCTGCTCTAGAGCTTTGCTGTAGTTGTTGGAAAGCTTGATGCGCTCCCACATCTTGGACGGCAGGTGCGCACGTTCGACAGTCTTCATGTACAGGTAGAGCGTCTGCTTGGTCGGGTGCTGGCGGACCGTGGCATATCGAGAGTTGGCCAGCGGGCACGACTGACGGTTACAAAGGCCGGTCACATTGTATTCGTTGCGGCAGAAATTCTGCTCTTTTGGGGTCCTATTCATGTTAGATTTTGTTCTGCGAGCACTGATTGCAGCAACTTACTTGAGCTTAAAGGCACAAAATTGCTGGTTGATAATTTGCCAGACAATCTCGTCGGACGCCATGGTGGGCGATTTGCGAGTGTCTTTTTGGGGGGGAGATCGCCTTGTTGATGCCTCGGAAGATCAAGAAAAACAATTTCGATTTAACCTCTGCGAATTGGAAATAAAGCAATACACAGGGTGTAAAATCTCAAGCCCCGTTCCTCTAATGTGCAAAACGGGAGAAATGAAGAGGCAAGGCTTTGGGGATCAAGAAGCAGTATATTTTTTTTCTGGGTCTGCACTGGGACATTGGGAGATTTTTTTTGCCAGGCTCTGATAGGCAGGCTCTGCCTTTGGCTAGTTCTTGGTAGTGGTGGGCGGCCCATCTCACCGCCTTCCCAAAACCAGGACCCATCACTTGCCAAGCCACATGAGGCGCTAGCCACATGCCTCTTCCTGGCGGTTGCTGTCAAGAAGACAGGATAACATTTGAGCTGCAATCATTCTCTGAAAAGGCTTGGTTTTGAGGACCTTTTTCCTGATACAGAAAACTCGTTGATCAACAAGCAAGTCACCCCGATTGCACTGTACACCGTAAACAACCAGCATTCGCATGCAGCCCGATGTTGCATCTCAAAGTTCCGAAACAAAATGAATAGAGCTTATTGTCATGTTATAATAATTAACTATCAATCTATCTAAACGACTATACCTCTCTTGCTCGAATGATTAGTTTATATAGAAATGATCGCCGACTCTTGATACCTTTTTGCCGCTTTTTCAATGGTACCTCACCGCCTGCCCAATCCTCTGCCCCGCCATAGTCAACAAGCGCCGCTGTCAACGTCACAATACGCGCAACTGGCCTAACTACCTAGACAAACCGACCCCAGTTCTCGTGCAGTTCTTCCATCTCGACGTCCAGCAAACCCTCTGCCAGCGAAACCTCTCCGCCCACGACCGCGGCTATCAACACCGACCATACTCTCTCCGCCGTCTCATTGCCTTTTTCTTCTTCGAGCGACCGCCGACCGAGGCTCGCTGTTGCGCCACCCCATCATCTCCGAACCGAGCTCTGAAACCGTCAACGTCACTTGGAGCCAGCTCCGACCGACCAACTCCCGAACAAGCTTTTCGCTCGCTTCCTGCCCGAACGTGGGGAGCCCTCGACGCATATTCAACTCGACTGTTGCCAAAGCGCAAAAATCGCACACACACACACACCCTTGTACAGAAAATCGGTTCACGGTCAGCGCCGCCGCGCCTCCGTTCTCGCCCACCATGCCGACCGCCGGTCTCAAGACCATTATTGCCCTATCCTTTGTCCTCGCCCTCGGCTTCCTGCTCGTCATCCTGTCGTGCGCCCTTTTCCACTCGTATTTCCCGCTGCTCGTCGTCGCCACCTATGTCATTGCGCCGGTCCCCAACTGGATCTGCAGCCGCTGCGCCAACCCCGACGACTTTGTCGAGAGCTCTGGCGCGGCCATTCTGGACCTGGGCCGCTTCTTTACCGGCTTCTTTGTCGTCATGGGCATGGGTGCGTTGGTTTTTTTTCTTCTCTCCTTGTCTGTCATCTCTATTTTAACAGCTTGCTAACTCGAGTCTTTTTACATACACAGCTCTACCGGTTATCCTTGCCCACGCCGACATTATCCGTGTCGAAGCCATGATCATGTCCATCGCGGGCGGCCTGTTGATCTATGGCACCATCATTAGCTTTGGCATGTTCTTCCAAGAAGAGCAAGAATTCTAAAGTCGACAAGACCAAGAGAAGTTGATTCTGGATTGATGCACAAGAGGTCAAATTGCGTCTTTGTACCTGTATGTTTTCTTGGGAGGACGATGGGGGCGTCGCACTGAGGGAAAATGTTTGAATCTCACCATATGATGTTTTATTCTTTCTGCAACAGGCATGAGCGTTCACAAAAGAGGTCGTCCATGATTTTTCTCAATGTAACAATGATAATATTTTCCTCTAACCAAATGATGTTGAGATCGCTCTAAAGTCATGAAATGATAAAAGGACTGCTGAGCCTCAAGACCCAACTCTGATTGTAATGAGATGAGATGTCCATAACTCTAGTATGCTCGTCTAATCCGCCTTTATGCCGCATCTCTAAATGTGCCGAGGGGTCCAAACAGCTTTGTAAACATTTCCTCCCTCTCGCCCTCGGGCGTGCTCAGGATCGTCACCGCGCCGCCCGCGCCGATGCGCCAGACCTCGCGCTCTCCACCCTCCTCTCCGTCCGCCCTCTCATCGTCCCAGCGAAACATGGTGCGAATCGTCACGCTCCAGTCGCCCTGGCCCTGCGCGTCAAAGTAGCCGACAACGCCCGAGTAGATGCTGCGCTCGCCGGGCTCAATGACGCGGAGCAGCTCGCAGCTGCGCTTCTTCGGCGCGCCCGTCATGCTGCCCGGCGGCAGCGTCGCCGCGAGCACGTCGATGCCGTTGAGACCGCCGCCGCTTTTCGGCTGCTGCTGCGTCGTCGGCAGCTGCCCATGCACGGCCGTGACCATCTGAAAGACGGTGGCGTACTCTTCCACCTTGAGCAGGTCCGGCACCGTTACGTTTTGCGGACCGCAGACGCCGTACAGGTCGTGGCGCACGAGGTCGACAATCATGAGATTCTCGGCCTCTTCTTTGGGAATGTGCAGAATCTTCTCGGCCGCGGCGAGCGTCGACACGGCGGCCGACTTGCGCACCGTGCCCTTCATTGGACGCATGCGGCAGAGGCCGTCGCGGTCGGTCGACAGAAACCTTTCCGGGGAGCAGCTGACAATGGTTGCACCGCCGAGACGGATAAACGACCCAAACGGAGCGGGCTGTCTGCTGCGGAGCGTTCGGTACATTTCCCATGGCGAGTGCTCTTTGTCCTCGGGCTCGACAGGCGGCCTTGTCATGGTTGTTTGTCCTGTCAGGCAGAGCTCATAAGAATGGCCCTCTTTTATAGCGTATTGGCAGTGTCGGACGTCGTCCTCGTATTTTTTCCAGTCGGGCACCTTGATGCCCAGACGACTGCTCCCACGCTTCGCTACATCGTCCCACAACTCCTCGGGCGTAAAGGTCGCCTTTGGACAGCTAACGGCGCGCCGAGAATTAGGGTCGCGCCATACCCCTGCATTCTGCAGCTTCTCCACGGCTTCTTCGACCCAGCTTCCGTCGTTATCCGCCGTCGTCAGACATTGTACATAGGCTGTGTTAGACTTGTGGTCGAGAACGACGCTGTTGGAAACCCAAGCCATGACAAGATCTGGACGGTGGTGGCCGCGGTGTGCGGAAACGGCGCCAGGGCTAAGAGTACTAAGACCCATCTCGTACGTGACAAAGCCCATGAATCCGCCCTTGAAAGCCGGAAAGCCATCGGTCCGGGTATCGTCGAGCTTGCGAGCCTTCCAGTATTCGGACATGATCTGGTAGACGGCCATGGGATCGTCTTCGGTGCCGTCAAGCGAGATTTCTTGCACCTCCTCGGGGCGGCCGCCGTTAGCTTTAGAAGCAGGACGCCGAAAAGTAGCATATTCATCACGGACATGATATTCCAGACGAGTAGCTTCACCCACATCTAGCGCAATGATGCTATTTCGCGCCAGCGGATCGCCATTCTTGGCGCTGGAAGAATCTAGTAGAATAGTCTCGCTGGATCCGTTGTCAAGTATCTCTGCTACATCGGCGGCGTCGACGCCATCGGGGAGCTTGAGCTTTCGGCAGATGTAGCCAGGTTGCGTGCCTTGACCGGCGAGGCCGGAGCGCAGGGCATTCGACCACCGAGCCGCGGCCAGCTCCCTCTCCGAGGGCCCATGTGCAGTGGAAGTAGCGCCTGCTGAAGTCGATTCGAGGCTGGCAGAGTGTACAAGCGGCAAAGTCCACGCTTGTCGCTTGCGGCCATTGACCTCGTTCCACTTTGTCGCCTGGTCGAACCAGTTGCGCAGAATGCCATGCACGGCGGATGAATCTGTGCAAATGGATTCAGGATGGCACTGCACGCCCCAAAATGGCAAGCTAGCGTGGCGCACGCCCATCAAAACGCGTTCATTGTCGTTCTCCGGCTCCGTTACCCACGCCAGAGGAACCAAATCTCGTGCCCTGGATGGCGGCTGCCATTTCGTCGCTGGCCAGTCCGCATCCGAGACATCATCCTGGCCTATATCCGCGCACAGGCTATGATACAGCGTGCCCTTGAAGGCGGGGACGTTGTGGAAAATGTCGGCGTATCCTGCTGCTGCTGCTGCTGCTGCTGCTGCCGCCGGCTCGGCCGCTGTCTGCAGTCCCTTGTGCTCAATGGGCCGCACCATGCCGTGCAGGCCGCGTCGCAGCTTGCGCACGCCCCCGCCAAAGTGCGCAACCAGGCTCTGAAAGCCGAGACAGATGCCAAAGACGGGCACGGCGCGGCGGCGCGGCAGATCCCACAGACGGCGAAAGGCGCCCACGTCGTCGGCACATAGCGGCGAGCCCGGGCCCGGCCCGCAAACAACGGCGTCAAACGACGCGAGGCGGGCGTCAAACTGCTCGGGCGTCCAGTCGGGCGTGGGATCCGAGTGCAGCGTGCGCAGGTCCATGTGGATGACGTGCACCTGCACGGCGGCGCCGAGCGCATCCTTGAGCAGTGAGACAATGTTGTTAGTAAAGGAGTCATACGCGTCCAGAAACAAAATGCGCGGCGGTGACGGATCGGCGCTGCAGGCGGCGAGCCTCGTTGTCGTCGTGGTTGTGGCGGTCGGCGGCGATGATGAGCCGGAGCCGGTGAGTGACTGAATCAAGGGCATCTTCTGGCGAAAACGTTTTCCGTGTGCCGCGCCGTTGCTTCCAAGATCAGTGTCAAAACGGTCAAGTCCAGATGCCAGCTCTAGATGTTGCCCTTTTTGTCAGAACTGGGAAATGGCTACTTTTCAAAGTTTTAGAAACTTAGAAAAGGCTCTTCGTCGGTTTTGTTTCCCTCACTGTTGACGTTCGACAAGCCACAAAGCCGAAAGGGCCCGTGAACGTCGGCGGGTCAACAAATTACTCGAGATTGATTAGGCGACACGGTGAAACGGAAACAAGTTGCGGTTTAATTAGCATCGGCTCGATATCGGCGTGGTTCATCGTAGGCGACGAAAAATACTGGCACCGAATTTTGCTTGTTCTTTTCCTCTTATGCTATGCCTCGTCAAAGCCTTGGGACCATGCTAGAAAAATTAAAAGTAATGGCAGCTAACTCACTAATTTAGCTTAATGTCTGTATTCCGCCACCTTGCCGAATTTAGCCGCAAACACTCGGAAGTCATTATAAAAGGCAGTGTAAGTAGTGGTAGTCATCAGTTTCGGGGCGTAATAAGTAGGCCTTTTATAAATAAAACTCTTGATATGTATGCATTTTATTGAAAAAAAAAAAAAAAAACAAAAAAAACCAAACGAAATGTACCACGAGTACGGATAGTGTGTCTATTGCTCAAAACACCGGGGATAGAGCGTTTGTCTCTGACTCGGGATTAGACAATTAGAAGCTCAATGTGGGTGACGATACGTATCGTGAGGGGCTCCTTGGTGTTGATGCTGGTTCTTTATTGTTTCCATCGAGAATAAGAGGCTGCGAGACAAGCTTAGAGCACAAGATATGCAAGTGGGACTAACTACCTTATGCTGCTGCCTGAGGCGTCGAGCCTGCTGCCTTTTCTCCAACAAACACCAAGCCCTTGGCGACTTGTCCGCCAACACCGCACCCTAGCGAAGCATTGTGCGGAGAATCCAGATAATCTAGATCTTTACTAATCGTCTTGGATGTGAATGCATCAACCTTGGTATCTAGGCGTCTGTGGGTTGCCGCCGTCAATACTCATCAACTCCGACTGATCTTTGACGCCACTCAAACTCCGTCGAGATAAGTGGGGGAATACTTGGTCATCAATCCTGGCTCCGAAACCTTCCTTCCGGAGTAAGCTATTTCTCATCCGCAAGCGATACTGTGGTGATACTATGCTCCGATGATGCTGTGGTGGTGCTGTGGTGGTGCTATATTGGCATCGTGATGGTACTGGTATAAATTGAGCCGCCCTGCCGCACTCGTTCAACCCCAACTATCTAATATCGACCACCACCAACACCACCTTTCTTCCATCCGTACCCCCAAATCATCCGCAACCATGGCTCCTACATTCCTCATCGCCGGCGCCACCGGCAACACGGGCCGCGCCGTTGTCAAGACCCTGTCGGAGCTTCTCAAGACGACCAGCACTACTACCTTTGCCAACCACCGCATCCTCGCCCTCACGCGCTCCTCGAGCGGCGCGGCCGCCCAAAAGCTGGCACAGCTGCCCGGCGTCGAGGTGGCCGAGAAGGCATGGGTCGAGATCACGGCCGACTGGCTCCGCGAAAACAACGTCGTCCGCGCCTTCATCGCCTCGCACAACGAGCCCAACCAGTTCGCCGAGGAGTCGACGTTTCACCTCGCCGCCCTCCACGCCGGCGTCGAGTATGTCGTGCGCATCTCCACCACGGCCGCCAACGTGCGCCCAGACTGCCCGGCCTATTACGCTCGCGCGCACTGGGCAGTCGAGGCCCTATTGAGCTCGCCCGAGTTTGGCCGTCTGCGCTGGACCTCGCTGCAGCCCAACATCTTTACGCAGCTTGCCCTGATGCCTGCCGTCGCCTTGATCTCCAAATTCCGCGAGACTGGCAAGCAGGACACCTTGAGGCTATTGCTTTCCGAGGACGCGCCTGTCGGCATCATCGACTCCGACGACGTGGGCATTCTAGCAGCCCACCTCCTGGTGGCCGAGGACGTCGCCCCGCACAACAAGGCCAAGTACGTCTTGAATGGACCGGAGAATATCTCTGGCCGCCAGATCGTCGCCATGGCCGAAGAGTACCTCGGCACCAAGGTTGAGACTGTCGCCTACAAGGATACCTCCTTCGTAGAAGACATGGCAGCCCAAAGCAAGGAATCTTCTAATGTTATCCTTTCTATCAAGCATGCTGCAGACACCGTCTGGGAGGGCAAGTGCGCAATTGACACGACAAGCAACGAGGTTTTCAACATAGCCGCACCTAAACGCACCCCTGCACAAGTTTTCAAGACTTTATTGGGCGAGTAGGGAAATGCTGTTTAGTTGTACACCATGTATCGGATTTCCTGTTTTGGACGTTGCCGCTATCGGCTTTCCTTGCGGTAACGCAGCGGTTCACCAGGATTGAGGCTACACCCGCACCACTAGTGTAATTGAGTGTACTGTCGCGATCATAACCACATGTAGCTATAATATGTACATACGACCCGGCCGCTAATACCTTTAATCTTTACTTCACAGGTACATACATGCAGTGGATAGAGTGACGGCATGCTCGGACCGCTTCTCGGGCGATGCTCAGGTCGGGCTATCTGTTTTCAAGCATCTGGTACTAACCTGTAACCTCTAAATAAAGCCGATGCTCGATGTACGGCTCTTGTGAGGCCTGACTCAGATTGTACATGTAAGCTGAGCGTTGGTTGAGTGGACCAGCCCTTCTATGAAACCCCATAGCACAGCGTTCGAGTGCTGTGTTGTGCTACTTGCTGGCTTTGAAGCGATTAGATACATAGTTTCGATTGACGCTATATACATGGCAGCTGCTCCTTAAAATATTACGCGACTACCGTATCGGACAAGTCGACGTGATGGAGAAAGTAGCGCCCACGTGTGGAAAACGAAAGTCTTCACTACCGCATTTTCACTCGTCGTCCGTCACAAGAAGCTTGAACGAATGCCGCGAGTGCCATATCCCACGCTGCTTGACGCCCAGAACCGCATCCATTGCCTCCTGCGTGTTGGACCTCGGTCTGCTGTGCCGTTGCTTCTCGGCCTGGTCGGGCTCCCGGACAAGCACCTCCTCCACCGACGCCATAATCTCAAACTCGCCGCGACACAGCGCCGTGAAGCCCAGCACAAAGTCGTGGCTCGAGTTTGCCTCGAGTTTGGGCAACAGCTGCTGCAGAGTACCGTTCCAGGCAATCTTGCGCGTGTAGTCTAGCGCCACCGTGAGCGGGCGGTGGCAGAGCGCGGGAATAAGCCGCAGCATGGGCAGAATAGGCCGACTTGTCCTGTTCATTATGTGTACTTTTAGATTCATAAATTCGTCCATTTTTGCCGTAGTGGCACCCTTTATGGGTCCGTCACCCTTTTCGCCGTTGGCAGGTTCCATCGAGATGCTAATGTCAACTTCGTCAATCTTGATAGCTTCAATCATGCGCGTCGTCAGTCGTATATTGCGTAGGTCAATCACGCCCTCTTTCCTCGGCACCGTTGTCGTTTTCCAAGTTGCCTTTAGAGAATCCAGAATCTTTTCGCGATACCAAAAGGCCTCACGATTGGCACGCTCCATTTCTGGTGAGATTTTGCTCGAGCTAACCACGAATTGCCTCGTTTTATTGGGATTCAGGCTCGGTATCGACGCATGCGGATCTTCTAGAAAGACTCGTTTGACTGGCAGAACAAGCCGCGTAGTTTTTCCGGGGAGTATGCTGTCTTCCACTGTCATTCCGTCGCTGCCCTCTACTCGAACTGCCATCTGACTGGGCCACGAATTGCGCATATCCATCGACAACAGGCAGTACTCTTCATCATCAGGCGAAGCATCACCGCCAACACGGTCTAGGAAGCTTCGAGGAATGCCGCCGTAGATGGGCAAGGTATCTATTCTCGATAGTTCGACGCTCGCATTGACCGTCACAGCCAAATCAAGTGACAGTTGTCTGGTGAAGAATTGCTCCGTGATTTCATCAATAGGGACGCCAAGATAGGCGTAATCAACTTGGATCGTTGCATTGGTGAGGCCCGGTTTACCCAAAATCTCGAAATCAAAGGTAGCTTCGCCACCGGGGGCAATGTGTCGGTTAGGCTCGCTCTTCGGTAGTCGCAATGCTTGCTTCTTCATGAGGATAAGCTCATACTCATACATTTCCGCCACAGACACGTCTCTACTGTTCAGTGCGGTTTGCAAAGGCCCTTGTGTAGAATCTGTAAAGGAGAACAGCATAAAGTCGACTGCGGTATCGGACAAGTTCTGCAGTGTTATTGAGAAAACGTGTCTCTCGCCCTCCAGAACCATGACGGAGGATTGTGACAGTGAGGTCGACTTGACAACAACCAAGGGCTGCGCTTCTACAACGTTCACGCTGAATGTGTCCGCAGAAAGCTGTCGGCTTGTTGATTTTCCTTTGGTCGGCACAGGAGGTCCAATGTCGAGAGAAGCCAAGCCTTTCGACTTGACCTTGTCCGCGCGCTGCGGAGTCCAGGAGTTTGTAAATATTGGGAAAAGGCGCTCTCGACAGCCGCGGACTCTGACCATGGCGCCCACGATAACGACAGTTCCGGGTGCTTTCGGTCGTCCTTGAACAACGATAATTTGGGTGCGATAAGGCCCGAGAGTAACGTGGGTGGGCAATGCTTCAAACTCTACTCCGGTCGCTTCTAAGCGAAGGCTTTCAATCTCGACTTCGATGTCGTATGTGTTCTGAAGCGTGACTTTGAAGTTGGCAACCTCGCCAGAAACCAGGTTCTTGGCAGCAGTCTCCGCCGCCTCTTTGAGGAACGGATTATAGATGAATGGATTCACATCTTGGGACGCACGGCTCGCCGTTGCACCGGGAAGAATGCTGCGAGAATGCGGTACCGGAGTTCTGGTCAAAGGTAATGGCTCTAGCTCTATGCCACGAACCAGGAATTCGTCCCAGTACTCAGCACCAAGATGAGTCATGCCCAGCCGCTGGGCAAGGACCCAGGTGCGAGAAATGTTGGCTGCTAAACGCACTTGTTCTTCCTTGAATATCAGCGGCGCGGAGTGCTCCTTTCGCGATGCCGGCGCAACGCCTGAGCCAGCTGTACGCATCAGATCGCTAGAGTATTTGAGGACGCCGTTAAAGTCAGGTAATGCTTCCGCAAAGTTGATACAAGAGCGAAGAATGTTGAGCTTGATTTCTGGGAAACCAAAGAATCGCGTAGCTAGCTGCCTTTGAATTCTGGAAATGATGGCAGCGTCGAGGTCTTCTCCCACGTCTGGGACATCAGCAGACTTGCCGAGGGGATCAAAGCTGACCACGCCGTAAGACCTGCAGAGGAGGTCGAGAAAAGCTTCTATGCCTTGCTCAATGTCTGCTTCACCGAGATCCAATACTGCAGCGCCTCTGCCCCTTTCGCCGCCAGAACCGAGGGGTATGAGTCCGGCTGCAGGATGTACACCTGCCTCAGCAGCACCCTTGGTGCGGGCTTCAACGAGACCGCCAATCAGAACAGATACCAGCTCTCTCGTGACCATGGCCTTTTTTCGATGATATCCAATCTGGCCTAGCACGCTGGCAATTCCACTAAGGATCTGGACCCGGTCCGCCGTAGTTAATAGCTCGGTAGCTGACGAAGGAAAGGCCTTGAATAAGGTGTTCACAATTTGCTGACGGCTAGGGCTAATGATGAGTCTCGGTGAAGTTGTCAAATACAGCTCGGGAGTCTTTCCGACAATGATCATGTCGAGGCACTGTTGATTCAAGATGCCGTTGCAGCTATGAAGCGACGAGAGAATTTTGCAAAAGCGAATCGTGGTTTCAGAGAACGGCAACGGTGGTAGACTTTCGCTTGATATTCTAGAGTAGAGACTCAGAATCCGATCCAAAAGCTCGGGTAGCAGCAGTTGCAAGTTGCGCAAATGCTTGGGTTGGCTCGGGTCCACGAGCTCTTCAACCTTTTGCGACGCTGGACGATCCGAAGTTGGCAGGCAAACAATGGGTATTTGAAATTCCAGGTTCAACCAGCCAAGCAGGAAAAGATTCATAAGGATAAGCTCAAGAGCTTTTCCGTGCCAAATGTGATCATTTAATGAGCGCGCAACCTGGGCGCCTTCGCTCAACTCTCGGAGCGCATCGCTCCAGCGGCCTGCCTGCAAGTACATGGAGCCAATAACAACGCCAGCACGACCTTTGCCTCTCAGTCGCCACCGGTCATTTGCGCCGCCGGGCCCGAACCCTTGCACTGATACTCGATCTCTGCTTGCATCGCGCGACACATCACCGCTTCTCGAGAGAGAAAGCTTGGACTCGGGTGAAGCTGGCGAGCTAGTTGGACCACTCTCTGTGCCATCGACTGACGCCGCCGCACTATTTCGCCACTCTTTATTCACCGGCGTTTCGGGGCGAGGCGTCGAACCGTTCGATACCGATTGGGTTCGTGTGGGCACGGGTGGCATGGACATTCTCGTTTGCGCTCGATCGGCCGTCGCCGAGCTTGATCGAATAAGGTGTGGTGGCATATGGGAACTACGACGAGAGGCTCCATTAGACCAATCATCAATTCCTCTTATATTCTTGGCAGCGTAAGATCCAGGAGAATCTATCGAGGTCATGGCCTCAAAAGACTTGGCCAGTGTAGTCATTTCTGCGAGGAGTAACGACGATATATTGCACATGACTGTTTTTATTGTTGTTCGTTTCGAATTCGCAGGCGTTGGTATAGTCGTTACGTCTTCGGGAACGTGAACCTCACCTGCTGGGGGCATGTAGTCAAAGACCAAGACTTGGTGGACAAGGGACTTGGGGTAGATATCCCGGAGGTCTTCGAGCTCTTGGTATAGCGCCCGCAGGTTTCGCTCTATTATTGTAGGGCCGGTACCATTGGAAGAATGTCGCTTGCTGAATGTGGCATCGCCAAGCTCGCTGCCGTCAGCAATCGCAATAATGGCGAGGGGCTCGCGATATAGATCGAAGGGCGACAGGGCCAGGTGGGAAGACGGCGGCGCGTGAGAGATTAGATCATAGAGAATGACGCCGTCCGGGTACGCGAGGGGAGAAAACATGTCTAGGATGGGGTTAGCATTGGTCTCCATCAATCTGCAGATAAGTCCGCTCCGGCGCAACGCCATATGAGGTCCTCCAAGGTTGGTCAGAGCTTACTCCTATTCGGCCGGCTGTCGGCGGTGATGTCTCGTAGATAGACCACATGTTCGGTCTGAAGCCTCTCAACGAAAGAGACAAATCGGTCCGCCTTGACCTTTCCGACAGGAAGAAGCAGAGCCTTCACCCTCGCGGGCGCAATGGGAAGTAAAGGATCCAGGCTCATTCTAGCAAGTGGTGCAGTGCAACATGGCTTTGTACCAGTGTTCACGCGGGTTGGGATGCACGGTGGGGACTGTCTGCTTCGCAACTCGGTGGAAAGAAATAGCCAAAGAGATGTGGACGGTTAGTATGGGATCTAAGGCTGTGCGGAAGATGTGATCCAAGGAGTGCTGCAGAGAACCGTGTCGCAGACGTGGTCGCGAGGCTTGGTGGGACCAAGGAGATGTTGGTCTTTGAAGGCCAGGTGGGGAGCTTCATTGGCGCGACAAGGCAGAGCTTGGGCGCAACGCGCCAGTGGACTGCTGATCTAATACCAAGCTCTCTAAGGACCACCTCGCGGCCAACAGTCTTATTATTCAGAGGAACTTGGAAAAATTGATTTTGCTCAAGTAAATTGAAAGTTTATATAAAAATCCGCGATCAAAGGGTATTTAGAATCTGACTTAAACTCCAGAGTAGCCAAAACGCCTTAAGCCGTCACCCGTGACATAATGACATCCTCAATATATACAGTCACGCAGATGGGGGTCCTGGATCTTGCGATTCAATTGTGACCCGTCGTTCACGTGCCTCCTTGTTCAGCTCGCTCTCGAAGATATCGACAGCAAGGCTCGCGTCTACAAAGTCTTCCATTTCTTCCACAATCGTCTTGAGCTTCTCCTGCACAGCAAGAGCGCCTTCTGTCCCTACAATGTGTCTTGAGGGAGGGTTCTCGTGTCCGCCAATTGCCGTCAGAGCATGGACTGTTTCCGCGACCAGTTTTTCAAGCGCAGCATGCGGGAGTGCTGGATACCGGTGCAAAATTTCACCGACGCCAAGTTCCGGTTCCAGCGAGATGGACTCCAAGTCGGCCTCGGGCGTAGTCGGAGAGTCGGGCACGTCAAGGCCAGGCGGCATTACAGTTCCGGGGTTTGCATTGAGCACATTGACGAGCATGTCGCGAATGCTCGGTGCTGGAGTATAGTTTGGCGCGTAGGCTGCAATCTGTGGTGCGAAAGTGATGCGATTCGTCAGGGACTGGATCTCCTTGTTCGGCTGTACGATTGTCACTTTAATGTTGAACGGGGCAACTTCGTACGCCAGCGAATCGCAAAAGCCCTCCAATGCCCACGTGGCCGCGGTGTAGATGGACATGCCAGGGGTACCAATGTGGCCTCCGATGCTCGTCAGCGCAATAATGTGACCTGTATGCTGGCTCCGGAAGACAGGCAATGCCGCTTTGATGAAGTTGACCTGAGAGAAGAACAAGGTTTCGAATTGGTCTCGGACGAGGTTCTGGGTGCCGGGAGTATTGGAAAGCTCTTCGACTGTTCCAATCACAGCTACACAACGGTTAGCACGTTTCCGCGACGAGCTGCTCTGGCATTGCCCTCCTTACCTTCTGACTTGCAGCAAAGTAGAATGTCGATTCGGCCAAAGACCTGTACTGCCTCGTCGATAGCTGCCCCGCAGCCGCTCATAGCGCGTCCATCACAGCGAATGGATCGAATCCTGTTCTTCCAACCTTCGCGATCCTTCCGGGTGCTTTTGCATTCGCTGATGAGATCGCGAAATTCGGCGCTTCGATCGTCGTCTTCGATCTCATGAGGAGGGAGGCATGCGACAACGTAATCACCATGGGCGAGGAGCTGTCGAATGAGTCGCACCGCAAGCGGCGATAATGCAGCTGTCAAAAGCCATGTGCGAGGCGAGTTGTGGGTGGCTGCAGGAGGCGGCGAGCTATCAGCCATGGTAACAAAAAAGTAATTGTTAGGGAAGCAGTCTCATGTCTAAAGGCAGGGAGTGATGAAGAATGGAAATGTCGGTCGCTAAAGTGCCATGGGGCTGCGATTGGAGATGAAGAAGGCCGAAAGCGTTGGCCAGACACAGAGAACAAGGTACTGCAACTGGCGCGGCGGGGAAGATTAGAAGAGGCGGCCGTGGGGGGTGTGGCCCTGTATTTCTGAACCGGGCTGAGGAGACAGGCGTTGCTGGTAGCGAAGTGAGCCATGGCGCCGCGCCAGTGGCAACAGTACGTAAAACATGTAAAACAGACCATGAGGACAAGACAAGACGGGGACAGCAAACAAGACACAGCAACCAATGAAGCTATTCACAAGGCAGGCTAGCAAGGTAGACTTACGAAAGGCGTGCGATGGGGGAGCACTAAACGTCTGGCGGCTGGCAGCTGATGAGCTGTCGCGCCTTGCAGCTGGCGGCCGGCTGGCAGAGGCCATATGGCAGGCGCGCTGTTTGTATAAGTTCGGTGGTGGACGGTGGGCGTTTGTGCTCTAGCAAACACAGCTCGCCCGCCCTCGCGACATTGACACAGCCCAGAAGACGCCTTTTCGATACCCGATCAACTGCAAGCAAGAAGCGACCTAGGAGGCCTCGAGGCTTCCTTTGTGCACGAGGGCGATGGAGTGATCTGATGAGGGCTGGCGCGATGTGGTAGCGTTTGAGGGCAGAGCGAGTGGCTGTCCAGTAGGTGGATTATCAACAAGACAGTAAAGAGGTCACACCAGAGTCGGTGGGAGTGGCCCAGAAACTGCCCTGCTGTAATATGGACAGAGAACAAAGTCGAGATGATTAGAAAATGAGTTGCGACAGTCACTCAAAAAAGGGCAGGGCTCCTTGGCCTTATGTGTGGACAACGACTATGAGCAACACCACGGTCCCAAGCCAGTCTGACCGGGGCTGCTCAATGATCTAGGACAAGGGCTGAGGGCTACAAGCCGCCTCGTTCGCCGCTCAATTGTACTGCGCCCACCGAATACACAAACAGTTGCTCAAGTCGGGATGGCATGGTCGTCATGAAGCTCCCCCTCGCTAGCTACTTGGGGGGGGGGGGGGCGTGGACCCAGCACTCGAGATAGATTATGGGCCTCTCAAACGTGGAAAATGCCGTATGATGTCCTCGCCCTAGTTGCCAGGCCCAATTTTGCTGTGTTCGCTAGTTATCCCACTGGTAGGCGAATTGGGTCCTCTTCTCTCGGCTTTCTACTCTTGTACGGATACTTGCTCTCTCACTGATCAATAACCATTTCGTCAGCCGCTTGCCTAGCCCGCGTTGGTACCAAAAAGTGTGGACTTCCGAGGCAGCCACGTTCCTGGAGGAGAATGGCTTGCTTGGGTTAGCAAGGTTGGCAAGTTGGGTTGGGTTGGCTTCTCTCTGCACAGCACAGACATCGGCTCAACATCCACATCCAAGTCACAGGTCTGAAAGATCGGCGCGACCGGCTGCAACTCTTTCTTTGCCTCTATTATGTGACTCGCACTTGCTTGCTGCCACCCCGAATTATCGGCGGATACGCCCCGGGGTCCTCTTCATTGCGGGACTCGCTACGGCATGTCCTGCCGTCGTTTGCGACAACGACCAAGGTGAAAGTTTCCCTGACCATTGCAACCCTGACAACTGCATTGTCTGGAAAGATGCTAACCAATAAGTTACTAGATGCGTCGTGCTTCCAACGCTCAGGTACCGAACTTGAAAGGGCGGAAGTGTCACGCCTTGTTTTAGTACGAGCTAGTCACTTTGCGCTCCTCCCCTTTCCCGCATCCCCCCAGGACTGTTCAATTCCATCGACACGTTTAATTTGTAGTTGTTCCGCGGGAGAAATCTCACCGAGTAAGTCACTACTCTGAGACATTTGGCAACGTTCTCGGCGCATGACCGGGCTGCCCTGTCCTCAAACTGAGCAGCAGCAATCACAGGGGTCTGTTCGCTATAGTTCAGTTACAATCTTCATGTTGGAGATGTACTTGAACGTGTCGACCTGGTCTAGCCGATGTGGCGGACTGGGTGTGACTGTTCCTGTTTTCTCCGTCGACTTGATTCTCTTTCTACCATTGCTACCTGTGCTGACTGTGGCGCTTCAATTACGACATGGCTCACGCGGCTGAAGCTTGAAGAGTGTTGGCCATCTGACAGTTGCTTGTCGTGTACATGAGGCTCAGTGTGGCGATTTCTGTTTTGATCTATATCATCACTTGTCTTTTTTCTATGCACAGTCGGCATCCTATTTGAATTTTTTTTTTTTTTCACTTTTTTTTCAAGTCTTTTTCTATTTCTTTCTATCTCACCCTTGTCTGGCTCGTGCAGGGCCAGACATGGCTATAGTCATTGGCTATATCCTCCACGATAATCGAACGAACTAACTACTTATTTATTAGGATACAACCTTTCGCAGACAGTTCACACCGAGTCAGTTGTTGACAAGCCACATTTTGTGGCGCGGCCCCTCACCAAGTCAACAAGCCTTAGACGGTTGCGCGGATGATGCCCGACGACAGGAGGCTTTCAGCTTGCGACCGGTTTGACGAGATAAAATCCAGATGTCGCGGGAGCCTTCCGAAAAGTGCAGCTCATTTTCAAAGCAACTAATTATACTCAGCCGTCGAGATGTCGGCGATGTACCCAGCCGACGGGATACCAAAAAAAAAAAGTCGCTCCACCTCGAGAACGTGGAATGTCAGTAGAAGGGCTAGAAGCAAGTTCTCGTCAAACTCAACTGCGGCTAAGCCTAATTGATGAATTGGTGCCTGGCAGGAGATACGACGTGGGGTGCAGTCCCGGAGGCACTATTCTTAGCGTGCTTCGCCCAGCGTGAGCAAAATACGCCGCTGCAGGGCCATTGCCGAAATTGGATAGCCGCCTGCAGCATCTCGAGAGAGCTAATAATCTCGACGCTCTCGAATCGTCGTGGCCCTACGGCGATGCCGCTTCAATGCGCAAAGCCTGAGGCAACAGGGTGTTCTTACCGACCATAGTTATGCCGCTTCGCCCAGAACACCCCTCGAATGATGGCAAGACATTGCTAAACTGCGGTGGCATCGAGGATGGCAGACAGCTCCGCCAGGCGCCCGTGGAGAACAAGGTTTTGGGCTGCTTGAGCCTTGAATCTCTGGCAGCTAGGATGGTGGAACCCCAGCGCTCTGCTGGTTTGGTATTACTTTCCAGTCATGTGGTTCCTCATTCAGCGGTCGCGACAGTCCCGGAACAGCGGATGCCTGCACAGATGTGTGCGTCATTGCACCGAACTCGTCCGGGGCTTGTTAACGGCGATTCTAGCAACTGGGCGCCGCAGGTTGGTACACTGTTGGTTTTCGACGACATAACAGGCATCCCGTACCGTTCCTTACCGTTGCACAACGGCCGACCGCGCATGTCGTTGACGGCCGAGACAAGGCTGAAAAATGTTCTGCATCGCTGTGCTTGACGACTTTTGAATAACACCATTACAGCACCTCTTACAGTCGCCTGCGCCGGTTATGCCGCTGCTATCACAAAGGCTGCTTTGTCAACCCGCCGGTTTCACCATTGTGGGAACAGGCCATCCCTACTCACACAGGGCACAGCCTGTGTGTAGGGCAAATACTTGGCCGGTGGTTGTAAGCCGCGACTAACTAGAGACCCTTGCCCCTGTCTATACACACGCAACACGGTCCCGCCCCCTCTCGCCCATTTTGGCAGTACAGAGACGGAGCTGAGGTGTGTGGAGGGCGCCAAACAATCGGATGAGAACCACCTTGGCTTATGTGCAGCATGCCAGAAATCAGGTTCAGAAGCGTTTGAATCGTTATTCAAGACGTCATGATTTAACCGTGGCCGAGTGTCAGCCGCGGCGCCTACGCTGCTGGTAGTAGCCAAATATGCGTACGCCCCTCTTGACCAACTTCTGTCAGAAGTTTTGAACAAAGCTGGACTGCCATCTACCAAGGTCATTGACAGGAAGTTATAGCGCCACTATTGTTGACATTGACAGTCAACTGGCTATAAGCCTATAACCATAATGCCAGCGATGAATGCCCAGTATTCCTATAACCCAGTTTTTGGCAAGGGCCTTTGGAGTTTGGACCCATTGACCATGGTTGCTAAGTATTTGTCGGCTTTTGAGGATTTTACCCGGTGAGACAGTTTGCACCACAACGAGCAAAAGACGTCCCGCCGGACACCCGCGCTGGCTGGGGTGCTGTGGGTTTATGCGTCTGCGCCGCCGCCTCAGCCATGGCACATGTAGGAAAGCAAGAAAAAGCCCCGACAGTGGTTTACACTATCCAATAATATAAAGTCTTGGTGATAATGAGATGACGAGGGGCTCCGCTTCGCTTACAGAAGGTCAACCAGACAGACAGCCTTACTAACCATGGCTTGTTTCCTCAACGAGTAATAGAGTTGAATTCTACCTTGTGCGAAAGTGGAAGTGGGAGAGATGGGGAGACGGAACGGCAAGCTGCCGTCGCTAAAAAGAGACCGGATCAGGGCATATCACCGGGCCATCGCCGCGCGCGGAGGCCAAGGGGCAGGTAGTTAATAAAACCTCAAGTCCAGAGGGGTCAGAGGCCGAGTCTGAGCGGGGCCAAAAGCGGCAGAAAAATGCAGCTTAATTGTAACAATACTTGCAGCCAGTCAATCAACAGCCGGTTCATTAACAGCCAGTTGAATAGTTGGGTACTTTGGATATACTAGCTACTGAGTAAGTGGATGTTGATTAACCGGCTGCTGACTGGCTAGCTGCTGACTACCTAGCTGGCCTGCTGATTAAGAGGCTGTTGATTATTGAACTGGCTGCTGATAGAGACTGGCTGTTGATCGACTGGCTGCTGATAGACTGAGTGTTGATAGACTGGCCTCTGACCCCTCTGGACTTGAGGTTTACTGCTACCCCGAGACCAAGCAAGAGCCAATCGTCTTGAGGGTGTACAGATGTCAATAATCGAGCTTACACAGCGCACAGCGCATGTGACTCGCAATCCCTGGCAAGCAATTGTTCTATTTTTGTTGTTTTTTTTCTTTCCAATCAGAAACGCCGATAGTCTTCTTAATCTAACCAGCCGGCATTACAATCTATCATCCAACATTCCCACCCACCCAGAGTGGTTAGTTGGTGAAACGGAGAATCGAGACATACATATCCGAGGACAACCCCGTGTCCACGATTGATTAGCAGGGCAGAAAAAAAAGAACATGTGGCAACGGAGCGCGTGGCGCGCGATAGTTTCCGCATTGGGCCACGTTGTGCTTTATTTAGACTTTGGGGCTTCTAGCAATCGGCAATGGACGCAGATCATGCTATTAACAAGGTTGACAAATTTTGCCAAAGAAAGAGCATGAAACAACGGCGTTTCATCGCACCACCTACCTACCTTGCTCGGCCAGGGGACCGAGCTAAGGCACAATAACGGCCCTCGGCATCCCCGCGTCGTGAAGGTAGGCTCTTTTGAAACACGGCACGATGGTCAGTGGCTGCCAAGGGATTACGTCTTTTGTCCTTTTAATTTTTTTTCTTCGTTTGGCCTTTCTTTCCCCATGTTCAAGGCTCTTCTGCAAAGCAACTGCCGTTCCAACATGCACTCCCAGGAAGAAGCGGGGAAAAGGAAGAAGCACCCGGGTTCTTCGGTGTGTGGTGTGTAAGGGGGGAAAAGTGTTGACTAACCATGGTGCAACGCAGGGGACGAAATGTCGGCAAATCACGAAGAGCGGCAATTGATCAGGGAGCGGGAAAAAACGGCAACAAGAAAAAATGCACAATGTGTTATCCATTGGCCATGGTCAGTTGTGACGAGATAAAAAAAAAATTTGCACGCTTGCTAATGTGCCCGACTCGAGACGGAGAAAAAAAAATGGCAAGATGAAAAGTGCCGAATAAAGGAACAAACAAACTGGGCGAAATTGTGGAAATTTGGCAGGTATTCGGGGCCAAAGTTGAGCTCATGACTTGCAGAAGAACACGAAAAAAAAAAAAGGCAGCAGATATATCATTTACACTGTCGTTTCACGTGGCGGTAGCGGCGCCTTTGTTTATTGAATGAGGGTTGCTTTTCCGCGGCGTGAACCTCATGGATGATGGTGCTGTTGACAGTGGGCGCGTTATTTTAGCACCCGTCTCGGAGTCGCCGTCCAATTTACGATGCAGCGATTCAGTGACGCCAAAGAGCTGGTCCATCTTTTCCAGGGAGAGGCCCTTCGTTTCGGGCACGAAAAAGTAGACAAAGACGCCCATGAGGAAGCAGAAGCTGCCAAACAAAAAGTACATGCCGTAGCCGGCGCGGCCCATGGTGCTCTGCATGGTGAGGACGGTGCGGGCGGCGACGAAGTTGAAGAGCCACTGGGTGGCGGCGGCGAGGGAGACGTTGAGGGCGCGCAGGCGGGCCGCGGGGATCTCGCTGACGAGGATCCAGCAGGCCGGGCCCCAGCCAAACTGGAACGACGCGGCCCAGAGGTAGATGCAGGCAATGGCGACGTAGCCAAAGGCCGTGACGGGCTCGCCCTTGGTGGGGGGCTGGACGCGGCCGTAGATGGCAATGAGGAAGAGCACGACGCCCTGCGAGGCGGCGGTGGCGAGGAGGCTGCGTCGGCAACCGAGCGAGTCGGCCACGAAGAGCAAGAAGATGGAGCAGCTGACGACTTTGACAACGCCGTAGATTCCGGTGGCGAACAAGGACGAGTCAGTGGCGTCCATGCCCAGGTTGGCGAATAGTTGGGGAGCGTAGTAGTTCTACCTTTGTTCAGCAAGCACGAAATCTTGTCGCGGAGGAGCTGCGCGGAGTGCCGCAAAAGGGGGCAAAAAGACTTACAATGGCATTGACGCCCGTGAGCTGCTGGCAAATCATGAGCATGATGGAGATGAGAGCGCGATTACGGTTGCCGGGGATCAAGAACATTTCGCGGAAAAGGGCTGCGGAGGAGCTGCCACCAGTCAGACGACGCTCAACCTCGAGCTGGTCGGCCATTTCCTGAATCTCGCCTTGCACGTAGGCATGTGTGGGCGGGAGGTCTCGCAACCGCGCGAGCGTCGAGGTGGCCTGCTCCCAGTTGTCCTCCTTGGCGAGCCAGCGCGGCGACTCTGGGGAGAGGACCATGCCAATGACGAGGAGGACGGCCGGCAGCGACTGGAGGGCCAGCGGGACGATGAATTTGGCGGGTGCGGGGACATGGAGAAGACATCCATAATTGACCCTAATTATGCAAAAGGTTTAGTAACTACACCTTTCCCAGTTATTGCCCCAGTACCGCGAGGTTTTTGGGGGTTGGGGGAAAGGGGGAAAGTTGAGAGGGGCTTTTACCAAAAGGCAACCATGATGCCAAAGACGTTGAAGAGTTGATAAAACGCCGTCAAGCCGCCGCGGATGGCGCGAGGCGCGCACTCGGAGACGTAGATGGGGGTGAGGGCCGAGGCCGCACCGCAGCCGAGCCCGGCGACGAAGCGGCCGACGTACATGACGGCGAGGGTACCGCGAGCCGCCGAGGCCGCCTGCAAGACGACGCCGACGACGGTCAAGACGCCGGCGGCGACGAGGGCCCTCCGGCGGCCGAAGCGGTCGGCGGCCCAGCCGGTGACGAGGCAGGCGAGGAAGCAGCCGGCCTGGAGGGTGGAGACGATATTCTGCTCCTGGTCGGCCTTGCGCTTGTCCGAGGCGTGGAGGAAGCCGAAGCGGGCTTGGGTGGCGGGCATGTGCAGGACGCCACCGATGGCGCCCGTGTCCCAGCCAAAGAGCATGCCGCCAAAGCAGGCCGCGCAGACGAGGGCCAGGACGCGGCCGTTGTAGATGGGATCCGGGTCCTCCTTCATGGCGTCGTTGCGGACAATGGCGCGGAGCAGCCTGGCCACGCGGCGGGCCATGGTTTGAAATTGGTGGTGGTGGTGGTGGTGGTGGTGAAGAAGACGTTGGAGATGGTGTTGCGGAGAGAAGGGCTCCCAAGATTGAGCAGAACAGACGGGACGAAACTTTTGAGCCCGGATTCAGTGAAGGAAGAGCAATGAAAAAAAAAAAAGTCGAAGCTGCAGACGGGCTGGAGGAGGAAAAAGCGACGAGAGAAAAGATTGGGAAGCGGGACTTGTGTGAGTGAGACAGGAAGCGCAACACCGGGGCGTCGTCAACATGGAGAGACCTTTTACCCCAGTTCTGGCGATGCGGCTGGCTGCAGGGCTAGATGCTGAGATGGCACTACATACGAGATGCCCGCTAGTTGCAATCTGCCGTGCTGAGGATAAAAAAAGTCTTTGATTGGCAGCCAGCTCGACTTGTTCGAAAGAATGCAAACTGTGGCCAGCAGGAACTGCGGGGGAAAACTCGCACTGTGCTGGGGTCTAAATGCGGAGAGACATGAAAAAAGGTCAGCCTTGTTTGTGTCTAGTCTTGATAATAGCCCCAGATTGAAATAGAATAGGCGCTCTCCACTGCGTCGTTTCAATAACCGGCAGTTGCCCGCTTTTTGATTCCTTCTTTTCATTCAATAGCGTGTAGCTGATTAGAGACAGCGCAGCCACAAAATAGTGAAGCCGCCTAACATTGTAAAAAAATGCAATATCAAATGCAATGTCACACACACACATCTTTGGTCGTTTGCTCTCAGACTGTGGAAAAAGCTCTAGTCCAGCTCGCCACCCCGCGTCAGCTCGACATTTGCAGTTAAACCATCCAGAGCACACGCAATATTCAGGAATAATCCAATCTCAGCTTTTCCGCCAAGCCTCCTCAGCTTGTGGGTTATGACGGGTGAAGGGGGACACAACTTTCTGATCCGGGGGATCTCGGTTCCACCAATGAGGCGCGGGAGCGAGCGCCCCGGTCCGTATTCCGAAAAAAAAAAAAAAAAGCCACGATCGGCTACGCACTGTGCAGGTGACGTTTTGAGTTGGCCAGAGCCAGTGGGCGGGAAATTATCCGACGCCTTTTTTTTTTCTTTCTACAAGAAAATGTCTTCTGCAAGAAATGTCTTTTTTTCTTTTTTTTGAAAAAGATTAAATGGCGACGGAAAACAAGGAGCGTCACTCCTACACTGCCATCAAATCAGAGCAACGGGGCAATATTCTCCAACGCAAGTGGCCGATGGCTGCGTAATGCCATTGTCGCGACGGGATTAATCAACTGTTTGCTGGCTCGTAAGAACCAAGTTTGCCCAGCTTTTCTCGTTCTTCTTCCTCCTATCATTTACGCCCTCTCGTATTCAAAGGCCCCGATTCCTCTTTTTTCCCCTATTTCTAGGACTTATCGCGCAAGTCGATTACAGAAGAAATAGAAGACTGCTCTCTGGTGGTTTTGTACTTGGAAATGCAATCATCTCATTCCCGCTCATCGAATATTTCAGATACATTATATTCCTTGAACTTGAGCTTGTTTAATAACTGATTTGTTTTCTCACTCAACTTTCTCTTTGGAGATTGCAGGGCTCTCGTCTCCCTATACTCACCGTGATGCCTACCACCTCTTGGCAGCTTTACCATCCTCGAACCATCACAAAGATGGCCCCGCGATAGCGTAGTAAGCCGAATACGCGTCCTCATGCACAAAAAGGGACAAGATCCGAGCAAAAGAGTTCTCATTCTCAGTGACCGTTATGCATAAATCAATCCGCCATATATAATCGTGGAGCACTGGCGTCACTTACACGTGGCCATTCCCAACCACACGTAGCACCGTGTCCATCATTATCCATCCCACATTGTCCCTCACCTGAATAAACCTCAGCCCTTGCTGCTCTCTGCCCTGCTCATGCAAAATCTCTAAATTCCAAGTTCCAGCCATTTCTCACAGCAAACATTGAGCCAGTCTCTTTGCCCGTCGGGCCCACGAGTCGTTCCACTACCAGTCCGTCTCATCCTACCATACCATACTTATCCTTTAGCAAAGCACACGTTTTCCCACACCATTGTATATAAATTGTATCCTTTCCTTTCCCCCTTTTTTTTTTTTTGTTCCATTCCAGCTAAGCAACAATTTCCTTCAAATCTCATTCTTTCACTCTTCAAAATGGGCATCCAACAAACAACACACACGGGCATTTCGAAATTCAAACATAAACATAGACCGCCTCTCCTCCTCTTTCACTCCACGTCTTCAGCGCCTTTACGTGACCTTCCGATGCCAAATGGCCCCAATAGCTCTGTGAGCTCGCCATTTGCTTGCCATACATGCCACATCCCGGCGCATTGCATCGCAGTTCTCTGAGTGCTTGCTGTGTCAGAGCGAGCCGCCTCTCCAGCCTCAGCGGGATATGCTCCATGCTATCCCAACTCGTCTCTTCCTCGTCGCGTGATGACGACGACAACGACAACAGTGACGACGACGATGGGCCATGCGGCGTCGCCGGTGGCGAGAGAAGTTGCTGCGTTGGAGCGTTGTCGACTAGCCGGGACGGTGGGGGTGTAGTGTCTCGATCGTGGCCGCGGCCAGACATGTCAACGTTTGTTCGTCGCGAGGGAGTCTCAGTCAGAGACGTCTTGAAGCCAGCCGTGATAGTCAGCTGTTCGAGGAGCGCGGCGCCCATGCGCATAGCCGCAACGTGTCCTTGCGACGCCACGTGCCGCTGATGCGCCTTGTCATTGACGAAGCGCCGCTCAAAGGCCGGACAGCACGGCTCGTCACAGTTTCCTCCTCCCTTTTCGTCTTCCACCTCGCCCATCACCGTTCTCCCCGCCACACCGATAACCACCAGCGGGCCATCTCTTTTCCTTTTTTTTGCCATCTCCTTTTTGACATCCCCCATAATCTTTCGATCCCTCTTCTTATCCTGCGCTGCTTCTTCCAGCTTAATCTTCTTTAACAATAGCTTCGCCCGTCGTCGAGCCCACTCGTTGCCGTGGTAAATCTTTACTCCGCAACACGCATTTTTGCGAGTTTCGGCCGCCTCGACTTCTGCTTTTCTCTCCTCCGAATCTGTATAGTGATCGTGTCGGCGCAGTCGGGGCCCAGACGCGAAAATCTGTCCGCAGATGAAGCATTTATAAGGGCCAGAGTGCCAATCTCGTTCGTGGTCCAGACAGTCTTGGATCGAATCAAAGACAAAACCGTCGCATTGGGTGTCGCCCCGTGGACAGGCAACCGTGTTGCGTAGTTGTCCAGTTAGCTCGTCGATGCGAATGTCGAAATAGTCGCGGATGGTGTAGGACCTGTCAGCGCCAGTAATTTCGCCATCGTGGATATCGCCGTTGTAATCATCCTCGTCAATGTCGTGCTTCTCGTCAGGACAATCAGCGTACATCTCCGTCATGATGGTGGCAAATCTCTGCAAAAAGCAGCAACAAAGTTAACACTCTGTAAAGAAGAGTTGCAAAGTGTTCAACTCGGAAAGATTGCTCGAGTCAGAGCACAAGTCCACATCCGATTCACCGCCCGGATCAGCGTCACCTCACCTTGCCATTCACTTCCCTCTTCAACTCACTCACTCCTCCGCGCAGATCCACGTCAACACATCAATATTCCCATCTCAGGCGTAACAAATGTAAAGGTATTGTATTCGGCAAGTCCATATCAAATGCAATCATTCCTATTTCCTCGCTCGGGTCCTTCTTTTTTTTTTCTCTTTTTCCTCTTGTAGTACTAATACATGCATCCAAGCAAACGTGCCACTTGCCATTCATGCTCGAGCTCAAGTATCGAATAAAGCCAGTGACAAAGTGAATGAAATACCACAACATGTGTAGCCACATGAAACCCACAATCAAAGATAGCAAAGACTTTTACTCCGCAGAGCAAGAAACAAGCAACCCCGCTCCGTTATTCCGTATTATGTTGATACAAAATCACTCCAGTCCTGTATTACCCATCAACCATGCCATCGGCCATGGCTAACCTTTGCTTGGCCGTCTTGGCCTTTTTGCCGCCCGGCTTTCGGCCTCGCTTCTTAGGTTCGCTTTCAGCCGGTGTGGCAGTGCCGGAAGCACCAGCACGACTGCCGTCGTCAAAGTGCCCTTCGCCTGCAACTTGTTAATTTCATGGTCCCAGATCCTCTTGAGAATGTGACTTACCCTCGTGATACATGTCGTCGAGGCTGGCAGGCGCCTCGGCCTTCTTCTTGCGACCGCCCTTCTTCTTCTTCGCATCGAGCTCGCCCGACTCGAGCAGCTCCTTTTCGCGGCGCTCAATCATCTCCGCCTGCTCGTCGTCCGCCAGCCACATGGCAATGTCGCGGTTGCGGTTCTCAGGAGCACGACGACCAGAGAAATCGACACTGGCACCGCCACCCTGGATGACGACGCGCTGCACTTCTTCCTTTTGCATGGCACGTTTGCGGATACGCTCCTCAATTGTGCCACGGGTAATCAGACGATATACGGTAACCTGTTTTGTCTGACCCAGACGATGCGCTCTGTCCATGGCCTGCGAATCAATGGTAGGGTTCCAATCAGAGTCGTAGAAGATGACAGTGTCAGCAGACGTCAAATTGATACCCAGACCACCAGCACGAGTAGACAGCAGGAAGATGAAGATTTCGGGACGCGTCTGGAAATCAGCGACCGTGTCACGTCTGTCCTCGAGCTTGGTAGAACCATCAAGACGGCAGTACTTGTAATTGCGGTAAGTCAGATACTCCTCCATCATGTCAATCATGCGAGTCATCTGGAAGTACAGCAAAACACGGTGGCCCTCGTTCTTGAGCTTGAACAGTAGCTCGTCCAGTTTAGCGAGCTTGCCACTGTCGGTGACGAAGCGACGCATGGAAGGAACGTCAATGTTGGTGAAGCGCCTCTTCTCGTTGTCAGGCTCGGGGAGAGCCTTTGGCGGAGGATACAGCTGGTAAGGCACCTTGTTTCTGACAAGCGTCAGCTCCTCATTGGGGGTCGTGCCATAGAGTCTCTTGCGAATAGGCACGTTGAACAAGACATCGTGGGCCTCTCTGGTAGAGTCAAAATGGTTCGACGAGGCAACCAACGGCGGTGCAGAGACGCGAGGTCTTCCAGCCAAGTCAAGACGTCCCATGCCACTTTCTTCGTAAGCCTCGCCAGAGACATTCATTAGGCGCGACATGATTCCGTCCTTGGTTATGTCAGCTAGAGGCTTGCGGTTGTTGCGCTCGGTAATCTTCAACAAGGCGTGGCCGGGCGTAAACTTTTCGTTTTCAGCGTCGTAAGTAATGGCGAATTGACTCAGGCGATTACTCTTGGTCAGTTCGTTGGCGGCGCGGTCAAAGACGCCACTGTGCACAGTCTTGTGAACCTCACCAGCGCTAGCGTCTGCAAAGCGCAACCAGGAAAAGGCCTTGTTCTCGTCGGTATTCTCCCTGATGTTCTCGGGCGTCCAAATGCTCATCATGTGATTAAGAGCCTTGTTCCTCCAGCCGGCCTTCTGATTGTCGTTGCCGGCCTTGTACAGACGGCCACCCTCGTTCCATACCAGCGAGGGGAGATTGTAGTCAATCAAACTACGCGAAGAGTAGCCGACAGAGACGTTGTTGCCCTCGCGGATAAAAGAAGCAGTCTCGGCAAAGTAGCCAAAGGAATAAGGTGAGGTGACATCAGCACGCTCAAATAGATCGGGATGGTTGCAGACCTTTCTGAATTGCATGACGAGGTTCATCAGCGTGCCGGAATCCTGGTCATCGCCCATCGTCGCCTTCTCCACAAGATCCATAATGTTGATCTGATTGCGCAAGTTGGCGTAGATGGCGCGCTGTCTGTAAGTGAGATCGCAGAAGACATCGAGTTCAATCTTGTCGCCGAGTTCCTTTTGCACATGCTTCTTGACACGACGAAGCATAAAGGGCTTCAGAATCATGTGCAGACGCTTGAGCTGGTCCTCGTTGAGCTTGGTGTTACTCTGGGCGTGAGACTCAATATCTTTGGAGAACCACTCGCTAAACTCGTCGTGGGAGTCAAATAGCGAAGGCATGATAAAATGTAGCAGGGCCCAAAGTTCCTGCATGTTGTTCTGGATGGGCGTACCCGTGAGCAGCAGGCGGTTGCGGCAGTGGAAGCCCAACAGTGACTTCCAACGAGAACTCTGTGAGCTCTTGATGGCCTGAGCCTCGTCAAGAATCATGTACTGCCATCTCATCTTCTGGAAATATGCAACATCAGACACGACCAGCTGGTATGAGGTAACGCAGACGTGGAAAGCAGCGTCCTTGCGATATGTCGAGTGCTTGCGATCCCAAAACTTTCGGAGAACCTTTCGATCAGCAGCACTGCCCCAGTAGGGGAGAATCTTGAAATCAGGCAAGAATTTGACGATTTCCTGTTGCCAGTTGTGCAGGGTCGAGGCCGGGGCGACAACGAGAAAGGGTCCCCAAATGTCGTGCTTCTCAGCCAGGTAGGCCATGACGGAAATGGACTGGACCGTTTTTCCGAGACCCATTTCGTCGGCAAGAATACCATTGATGCCCTGTTCGTACAAATTGACGAGCCAGTTGAGACCCTTGAGCTGGTACTCTTTGAGCTGGGCATTGAGAAGCTTGGGCTGCTCAATCTCGACCTCGCCGAGGCCGGTGGGATTCTGAAAGTTCATCTCACCCTCATCATCCATGTCGAGACCCTGCTGGTTGAACTCGCGGGCCTTTTGCTGGGCCTCAGCAATGGCATTTTGAGCATTGGCCACGGCGGCAGCCTGGAGAGTTGACTCGTCCTCGGCGTCAAAGTCAAGATCCTCGAAATTGGTAACCTTGCCGCCCAGGGGGCCTGTAGGCTCGACAATGTCCACCTTGCTTTCTGCAACGGGGGCCCCATTCTGGACAACTTCGGGATTGTCGGTGCTGCGCTCGACTTCGTCCGTCTTGATCTTTTTGCCGATAAAGTGAGAGTACAGCTCCGTCTGAGAGATTAAAAAGTTGAGCTTTCTCTTTTGACGAGCCGATTCTCTCTCGGCGTCCTCCTTTCTGGCATTTTCGAGCTCCTGCTTCTCGGCAGCCTTGCGTAAGTCACGCTCCTCACGCTCGTTGCGCTTCCAAAAGCCCATCATGTCACGCATGACACGCTTGGCGCGGGCCTGGAGGTCCTTGGTGCCCTTGTTGGTGCGAAGCTGCCAGCGCTTGGCTTCCTTGGAGGCGAGAATAGCCGTCTTCTTCAGGTTGGAGCTCTTGGTGGCATACGAGTCGACAGCGAGCTTGAAAGTCTTGTTAACGTCCTTGCGAGCCATGTCACGCCAGATTTGGTCGTAGATTTGATTGTAGCCCTTGGAGATGAATTTCTTGTCGGCTTCGGGGACGTCGTCAACTTTTTCCTTGCCCTCGGCCCTTTCCTTCTCCTTGCCACCATCCTTTTTGGAGCGGCCCTTGATCTTGATGCGAACCTTGCTCTCTTCCTTGGCGGGAAGCTCTTCGCCAGCGTCGATGGCGGCCTGGGCCGCAGCGGCAGAATCCTTCTCAGCCTGCTTCTGCTCCTTGGATTTTTTAGGTCGAGAGCCGCCACGACCCTTTTTCTTGCCAGACTCGGCGTCGGAAGCGACAAAGCTGGACATGGAACCGTCAAAGCTCATCTCGAGGTTGCGAGCTGGACCCTTGATGCCCTTTTGCAGGATGAGCTTGGTCTGCTGAGCCTTCTTGCTGGCACGCTCGGCGTCACGAAGATGCTTTTGGCGCTCCTCCTCATCTTGGGCAGCCTCGGCGCGCGCAAGGGCAGCTTCCTTAAGTTCCATTGTGACGGCCATGGACTTTTCGCGGCGACGCTTGCGTTGCATGTCCTTTTTGCGCTCCTTTTCGGCGAAGACTTCTTGGTCGCGGACCTCTTGCAGGGCGGTGTCGTAGTACATGTCATCGTAGCGTCTCTTGCCGAGCTCGCTATGCTCAAGGAGACGCTTACTCTGCTTGTCGGAAAAGTCGGCGCGGCGCAGACGCTGCTGATTAGTGTCAACTTCATCCATGAGACGGCGGCGCTTCTGGGCGCGCTGCTTGTATTCGGTCTCGTCAAACTCGTTGGGGTCCAGGTTGGCGGTTTCGTGGTCAATCTTGTCCTCGTAGTTGGAAATTTTCTTTTCCATCTCGGCAGACCAGGTTTTGGGCTTAGGTTGTCCATCGGCCTGGCGCTTTGAAGCGCCACGCGAAACAGACTCTTTTCTCGATGATGAGCGACGGCTTTTGGGGGCCGCGGCATCGCGGATATCAGAGGCTCTACCCTTTGTTGAGCGACGACTACCCTTCTTCTTGATAGCAAGCACGTCGGCTCCCTTGAGAGGCTCGGTTTCCGTCTCGAAATCCCTTTCAACCTCTGTATCATCGGTTTGCTCCTTGACAAGCGGCTCTGGGGCAGGGGCCGGGGCTATGGTCGGCGGTGGCGACTTGGGTCTGGCCGGCTCGGCGCTGGAGAGGATGTTGGAAAATGACATGGGATCAGCGCGACTGGGTGTCTGGAACATGTTAGCAGAGTGTCGAAGGTTTTGCGTGGGGGGTGAACAGTGAGCACTTACACTGGATGGTGCCGGAGCGACAGGTCTGAGAGGTGAAACTGCCCTTAGATCGGGCTTATTGAGCAAAGTTGCCGAGCCATTGGGAGTCGAGCCAAGCGAAGCATGGTGATGCGTGGGCGAAGCCATGTGTGACTGCCTGGTGGGAGGGCTGTGGGAGCCCACAGGCAGATTGGAATGCGAATGCGTCAAAGGACTCCGGGGGCGATTATATGAAGGCGATGGACGCGAGTCTCTGGAAGACGCGTAGTAGCCGTTATAATAGCCCGATTGATGGGATTCGGAGGTTGGGGCGTGATGGGGATAGGATTCGCGACTCTGCCGAAAGGATTAGTACCGGGCGAAATGTCGGTTGTGGTGCGCAGTCGGCAAGATGGGCAAGGGAGGATGGCAGGATGGGAGGATGACGGTCAGGGTGATGGTGGTGATGAATATTTGGCGAGCAGAGATTTTGTGGCAGTGGTACGGATGCAAATTGCTAAACAAAATGGCTCTACTGGTTTCGCTGGCTTGGTGCACAGGCACTAGGGGACCAGAGGCAGACAATTGAGATGAATGGGGATTTTTGTGGGCGCAACATGGCAAGCAGCGCGCAAGGGAAAAAAAGCAAGGGAAGGGAAGGCGAGCATGGCAGGGCAACATTGAATGCAAAAATCATGTGGCACGAGATGAACTGATGATGAATTGAGCAATAAATCAATAATGTTTCTTACCTTGGGCGAAGCCGAGGGGGGAGCATTGTGCCAAGTATCCGAAACTCTGCGCTCCTTCATCGTGGTATCGGTAAGAGGATCGTAGAAGCTGCCTGGCGGTTTGGAGTCGCGAGGCGGATGATGGGCATCGGTGGCGGAAGGATAGTAGCCAGAGGTGGGACGCAGGGGCGAGTGAGGCCTAGCCGGGACAGACTGGTGATGCGAATGATGCTGCTGGTGGCTCGCGTTTGGAGATGCACCCGGACCCAGGGGCGGCAAACCGCCAGGAGCAGAGCCGCCAGTCATGGTGGCAGAGGTTGTCGCGGGCGAGGCCGCCGCGGCAGGAGAGGACTGCGCAGGCGCAGCAGCAAAAGGGGCGGCAAGGCTGCTGTGGTGATGATGGTGGTGGTGGTGGTGATGCTGTCGCGATGCAGAGGTTGCGGGCGCGGCCTGCGCGGCCTGCGCGTGATGGTGGTGATGGGAGGATGCGGTCGAGCCGGGGGTCGCGTCGGGATGACGGTGGTGATGGTGACGATGGTGATGGTGGTGATGGTGATGATGGCTAGGCGCGGATGAGGATGAAGCAGAAGTGGCCACAGAGTCAGCAGTCAGAGGAGCAGCAGCAGCAGCAGTAGGATGGTGTTGGGCCGGGGCGCGAGTGGGCGAGCGAAGGCTGAAGGTGGAGTGTCGGTGCGCGGTGGTTGATGTGGTGGTGCTGGAGCTGGAGCCTACGGGATGATGATGAGAAGGAGGAGGAGGAGGAGGCGGCGGAGGAGGCTTTGTCGTCGCAGAAGCGTTGCTCCCTTGATTCATCACGTCGCGCCCGTGATCGGGTCTGTCTCGGTCTCTGCCACGATCTGATTCATCGGGATGCAGTCGGGGCAGGCCATGGGAGCGAAGCTGATCCTCCATCTTGATGGTGGAATTGACCAAGGTGCAATGTCTTTTGGGTGGCGAGGAGGCAGCCGTAATAAACCAAACGATTTAGGATTCAGCCGGGCCCCGTGAGGGAATTGGCGCGCGACGCCTCCTTTGTGCGTGTGCTCTTAACCCCGAGATGGTGTCACCAAGTAATTGGCCGCGCAGTCGAAAGGGGAGAAAAAAAAAAGGTGGCCGTTAAGAGTAAACGAAACAAAGTTTAAAAATACAGCGTCGAAAAAGGTTCCATGGATATGAGTCGATGGATTTATGTAGCGATTGCGCCGAGTCGGAATGACCAGTGGAAACACGGGGGGTTAAGAAAAAACAGAGTTTTGCCGTTTATGAGGGCGCGGCAGCGCGAATGTGGTGATGCCGGCGATAGGTGGCGGCTGGGCGTAGTTGGAGGATTGGGATGGGTGGTGGATGTTGGGAGGAAAAAGGAAGACAAGAGAGGGCAGCAGATGCGGGATGTGTGAGAAGAGCGCAAGACGATGAATACAACGAGCAGAGTAGAATGGTGTGGGAGGCGATGGAGGCGATGGATGCGAGTGTGGAGGAGGCGGAAGCAGTCACGACGACGAAAAGAGGCCTCTCTCGGCATGGCAAGGAAGCCGAGTAAGGTGCATTTTCTCGGCCGGCAGACGGAGGATAAGCCTCGTGCAGCGGTAGAGATACTTTGTACCATCAAACGAATACACACAGTTAAAAAGAAGATGCATCCATCACCACTCGCGGGAGCCGGGCTTAGATTACGTGTGGTGGTGTGGCCACGATGTGGGAGCGGCCATTTTTTTTGTTTGTAGTGTTGGTGATGGTGATGGTGGTTTGGTGGTGGTGGACAAGGTCGGAAGAAACAAGTCGGCTCGGCCGGAAAGAAGACCAAGGAGGAGTGATGAAATGATGCTCAATCTTGACGTTTCGTCTCCGTATCATCCTCGCTCTATTTCCATGATGAATCGTACACATCTTTTTCATCTTGTCTGGCCTGCCCTCTTGATATTTGCCCCCTTGACCGAATCTAGGTACTGGGTACGTACCTAGTTGGCTTGCCTGCAGCTGCAACATGCAAGTGTGCTTTGATTACCTTCGCTGTACTCCGTATTTAGACTAGAACAAGCATCACAAGTACATGTACGCGTCGCTCGACCAGCATCCATGTCCCAATTCTAGCCTTGTCTCCCTATGTGCTCAACACTTTGCATCAACCCGAGACCGTCTCAAGTACCTCTACCTCCTGCCAACTGCGACTCGCGTCACACGCCCACAGACGGCCAACCCGCAACGCCTCAGAGCGCGCAAAGATCCGATCTCTCTGGTCTTGCTTTATCCTGCCTGCTTGTTTTTTTTTTTTTTTTGAACCATATCATAATGGATTACCATTTTACTCCGCTTCGCAAACAACGCTCTCTGCGCCCGCGCCGCGCCTTACCAAAAGAAAAAAAAAAAAAGCTTGCTCCGGTCAGGGGTACCGCAGCCATTATCTTAACCACCAAACCGCGATAAAGATTGAAAAAGCAAGACTCCCGCTTTCCCACCTGTGAAACCCACCACACATCTCCCGCCACCCAGCGCATTTCTCTCCTCCAATGGCTTCCGTCCACATCAATGCTGTAGTATTCGTAGTCATGTCCATTCAGTTACGGCACAATCAGCTGGCCAATCCATGCAGGCAAAGTACAATGCGACGCTGACCCTGATAATGTCCTCGTCACACACCCCACAATCTGCCTGCTCAAAATAGCCTCATTTCTTACTCATTCGCAATGCCTCACACAAGGCCTCACGAGATGGGTCAAAATTGCCCACCATCGGCTTCATCCACTATCCCTTCTCCATTGTCCCTACTGGCTTGGAGCTAAATCATGTCATATTTTTTTTTTTTTTTGCTTTGCTACCACAACTTGTCACCCTTCAACTACGACAGTTGCACCGACGAAGCCCCGTGTTAACACTTTCCATCGCCGTGTCCAACTCTATCATCATCCATTAGTAGGTAGTAGATCTTGGCCTGGTACCACGTCGAGCAGCTCAAGCTACGCGAGAGCAGAGTACCATTGGAACGGTTTGTTTCCCTCCTAGAGTATCACAAACATCCATCACTTGAGCCTGATAATACACAATACCAATACTAATTAATTACTATATTCCCCAACTCTCAACTAACCCCTCTAAAGCCAACACTACCTATGTTTCTTCAACCGCCTTCGGCAACAAGCCTCTCGTTTCGCCGCTCAAGTTTCAAGCTCGTCTGTTCCAAATTTCTCCCTTGCGCATCCTCCTCATCCTCTTCCCAACCACCATCCATCTCCTACACTTGCTCTACTTCCCCGCCCACCACCACGGCCCGTACCATCACATCCTCCACCTCAAACACCCCATCGTACCTCTCCACCAGCATGTAATGATCGCCCTCCTCCTCCTCCTCCTCCTCCTCCTCCTCCTCCTCCTCCTCCTCCTCCGTCAGCACCCGCACCGCCTCCCGCGCCCACCGCCCATTATCCAGCCGAAAGCTGCCCAGCGACACGAACCCGACCTTGCCGTACAAGCCCACCGACTCGGCCGACGACACAATCACCGCCGGCAGCCGCGCCGCGTCGGCGCGAAGCAGGGCCCTGGCGAGGAGCGCGTGGCCGATGCCCCGACGCTGATGCGATGGCCGGATCATGAGATGCTGGATCCCTGTGCGCCGCTGTTAGCAATCTCGTCGCCTTTTCTGCTGGCTTCTTCTTCGTCCTTCTTCCTCTTTTCTTGATTCCAGCAGGATTTCACTTTATTGTAAACGAGCCCAACTTACACATGTGTCGCTGCCCTTTGGCGGCATCTTTCAGCATCCCATCCCTCTTGGCCTGCTCCTCTCCAAACGCCTTCCACACCTCCTTCAGCGCCTCCTTACACGCAAACGGCGATTCCTCCTCCTCCTCCTCCTCTTTCTCCTTGACCTCTTCCTTTTCCTTCTTCTCCTCCGTCTTGGCCTCTTCAATACTGAACCGCACAAACCCCACCACATCCCCCTCCTCCCCATCCTCCCCCTTCTCCTCCGCCGCCACATAAAACACCTGCACCGGCCGGCGCGTCTCGGCAAACGCCCGTCTCGTCATGATCGGAATCAGCTCCCGCGGGTGCTTCTTGAAAAACGTCCCGTAAAATGCGTGGAACCGATCCAGCGCCTCGTAGTGCACCTGGCTGATGGCGTCGGCGTCGGCGGCCGTGCCGGGGCGGATGATGATGCCGGCCAGTGGCTTCGCATCGGACGTATCTGCCATTTTCGTCGATTGTGTAGGGACTGTCTACTGAACGTGACTATAATAGGCATACCAAGACTCCGAGTACCATAACAATTGCGCCGGTTTATACTTGCTCAAGTAAATATGTCGTCAAGCCTCAACCAAAGGATTCTTGCTCCACCACGGCGAGCAACAACTAGTTAGCCGATTTACACTTTTTCTGACTCACACCGTCCGGTACTTTACTACCAATACCTACGCACGTTTCTTCACTTCGGCTTCATAAACATGTATAATTCACTTTCAAATTCAGGTCAAACATAGAAAATATACGGAATGTAAGTCTATCCCATAATCAACAATAAAAGGCCCGTGTCATGCATGCAGGCTCTTTACCCGCCTCTTGAGCGTATCAACGGTCATGCGCTAGCCTTTTGTATCATCAAAAAAGGCTCTATTCCGCTGGGCAAGCCGCTGTCGTGTACCCCGTAATTCCATTCTCTTTTCCAGTCCTCTACCATTTTTTATCTCGTGTTGGTAATTTCATTCCCTTGTGTCTATATGTGAACCAGCCCAATCATGCATGTCATAACCCTTTATGGTGCATCCAGTAAGCGAGAAAATCAAATAATCGGGACTGCTGCCAAAAAAAAATATGTTTTTTAGACGGCACCTGCAGAAATCATCTTCTTGCGCAGGTAGTTCTTGTAGTCGCCGATGCTGCCGTCCCAGGTCTGGATCGTCTTGTTCTCGCACACCAAAATCTGCTTGGCAATTTTGTCCAACAGTCGGAAATCGTGAGAGACGACAACGACACCTCCACTGAAGGCGTTGATGGCATCCGCCAGACTGTCAATGGTGGGAATATCGAGACCGTTGGTAGGCTCGTCCAGCAGAAGCATGTTAGGCGACTCAATCGCCAGTAGCGCAAAAACAACACGGCTGCGCTGACCCTCGGACAACGTGCCCATGAGAGCAGTCTGTGACTCGCCAGTCAGGCCGTAGCGGCCAAGCTGCTGGCGCCAGAACTGGTAGTCCTGCGACTTTTCGCTGTACTTGTCACGGACAAAGTCGAGGGCCGACTTGGTCAGGTCCAGCTGCTCGGCGCTGTGCTGCGAGTACATGCCCAGCTTCAAATGAGTGTGGCGCGTCACCGAACCGCCGGTGGGTGACAGCTTGCCCGTCATGAGGCGGAGCAGAGTCGACTTGCCGACACCATTGGGGCCGACCAGGGCAGTACGCGAGTCCATATCGAAACCGAGTTCGAGGTTACGGTACAGGTCGTCCTCGGGGTTGCCAGAATACGAGAATGTAACGTCGTCGAACGACAGGACAGGGGGGGGCAGCTTGTCGACATCGGCAAAGCGGAACGTAAAGACGCGGTCGGCGTGGACGGGCTGGATGAAGCCGTCGGCCTCCATCTTGTCGAGAATCTTCTGGCGAGACTTGGCCTGACGCACCAGGTTGGCGTACGTACCGGCACTGGCAATAAACTTCTTGATGTGAACAATTTCTTCCTGCTGCTTGTTGTAGGCCTTCATCTGGTTCGTCTCGTTTTCGGCACGAGTCTTGGCGTACGAGTCGTAGTTACCACCATAGTACTGGAGCTTGGTTCCACGCATGTCAATCATGTTGGTGCAGACACCATTGAGGAAATCCATGGAGTGGGAGACCAGGACGAGGGTGCGTTCCCACTTCTTGAGGTACTCTTCCAGCCACACACAAGCCTCGAGATCCAAATGGGCAGTGGGGTCGTCCAGAAGCAGGACGGAGGGCTTGACAAACAGGGCCTTGGCCAGGGCGACACGCATTCTCCAGCCACCAGACATATCCTTGGTCTTCTTGTGGATGGTCTTCTTGTTGAAGCCGAGACCAGTAAGAATGAGGGAGGCACGGGTAGAAAAGGTGGAGGGGTCCATGCGATCCATGTGCTGCGAAATGTTAGCATTGATGTTCGGACTGAAGGAGAGTTCGAATTGCTTACGTCGTAGAGATCAATCAATACGGGGCTCTCGGGGCCCTCGTCCTCAAGCAGCTGCTCAGCCAGCTTGTCGAGGCGATCCATCTCTGCCTCGGCCTCCTTGACGACCCACTCGAGGGCACCGAAATCAGATGGGGGAGCACCCTCATTGAGCAGATAAATGTCGAGATGGTTGGGGATTGGGAACTCGCGAGCAGCAATGGCACGAAGAAGAGTGGATTTACCGCAACCGTTCTCACCAAGGAGACCGTAGCGGCGACCGAAGGAGAGTTCGAGGGTCGAGTCGGTGATGAGAACGCGGCCGTGAAAGACTAAGCTGGTCGAGGTAATCTTGACGTCCTTGCTCGTAGCAGTCGAGGCCAAGTTGCCAGTGGTGACGCGGTCCGAGATGCCGTGCTTGTCCATCTGCTCCGTCAGACGCTTGACCTCGTCCATATCGGTGGTGGCGGGGCCGTCGCCCTGGATGGGTTTGCCGTTGGCATCGAGCTCGGGCTTGCCCTTGGGCGTGCTAGTTCCGGACTTGTTCTTGAGCTTGCCCTCGGCGGCCTTCTTTGCGAGTCTCTTCTCCTTGGAAGCGGAGGGCGCCATATTGTCGGTTTGTGTGGTGTGGTGATTTGGCGGGGTTTTTGGCGGGGTGGCGATGTCAAGGATGTTTACAGCCTTTGCAACTGGGACTCGAGGAATAATGAAATATTCGAGCCTCTTTATTGTAGTCACGCCGGATGAAGAAAGGACACCTGATTTTCAGCAAAGAATGACGGGTCCCCAGGTGATGATGGTGGATGCTGGAGGAGGAGAAAGATGCAGCATAGATTTCGTGGCTGCTGAAATTTTGTTTGATTCATAGGCGGGGTGATTTTTCTTTTTGGTGGGGCGCCCCTCAAAATTCTGGTTTTTTGGCTGCTGATAAGCTGCGCTTTTGTAACATGACGGTCCGTCCGAGCCAGTCAGGCAGCAAGCTTCACCCTAGTACTCAATACTTGTGTGCACCTGGCTGGCGCGCCTTTGATATTCGCCTGCGATGTACCTAGTACATGATACAGACTTGACCTACGACAATACTCTAGCTGGCAGCTTGACGAAGTTGTTCATTCATTTCATCGATAAAACAATTATCATGCAATCTTTGCCATTGTTTCCCAAACTGTCTCATACTGCAAAGATTAAATTAGTTCTTCTTATCTGGTCTGTTTGACGTCGTGGCGCTTATGGCCGTCTTTGCTCGATGAAACATATTCCAATAGGGCCCGCGCGATACCCTGGATCTATCCCAAGAAAACCACTCAACGTCTGCCCATTTCCAAGCCATTACCAAGCGCTGTTGAATCCATTCCCGTGATATGAGGTAGACGGATTATCCCTGTTGGAGGGGAAGTAGCTGTAAGCCAGACATGTTGGGTACTGTATTACCTCCCTTCACCCATGAGCTGCTATTTCTGGACCAATGCGCAATGGCAGGGTACCCAATGGTGATAGCTTTATCCGTTTCAACACCATGTCTGCAGGCACGACTTGTGGCTGTAACTCTCCCCATATTCGTCTGTCAAGTTCTGAGCTATATTTGCAAGATATCTGCGGTTCAGAAATCTTGCTCGCTGATATGGCTGGCTGTGGTGGCATGGAGTGAGGTTTGGTGATGCTAGGGCTGTCGACTGGTATAGAGCCCATCTTGACATTAAATTCATCAACCTCGTCGCTCGGGACCAGTGTCGAGTCGCTCCAAGGTCTCTTCTTCCGGTTTTCTGGTCGACTTTTGTGCCGTCTGTACCAGGCAAGGCAGGCCTGCAACACCATGCCGAATGGGTGAGTGCAGCTTCTGGTTTGAGACGGAGTTGTAGATGTTGTATCTAGCATGAGCTTCTGCTAATGTCAAAATTATCATGTATAGAAGTTTTGCATCACATTGTGTGTATCTTATGTAGGAGATGCTGACATATGTATTGTGAGGCGAAAGCCGCAGCCGCACACCTTGCCACCTTCTAGAATGCTGATGCCTAGCGCATGCTCCATAACATCCGAAGCCCACGTCGTCTACACATCAGCATATCATCGCTATTTAGGCAACAGTATAATTAAATTAGTGTCCCCATGCCCAATGTAAAAAGCGCATGAAAACTACCAGCGGGCCTTTGTCTCACATCGATGGGCTGATTTGCAGGCATCAATCAGACTTATAAGCAATTGCATCGTACATCGGTGATCCTTTCCCTCAGATTTCACATATTTTATTATCGAATAGTATTCATTTTAAATCATACTTAAGCAGACAGGTCTCTCTCAAGCTTCTCAAAGCTGTTGACGCCATTTGTGTCCCGCACAGCCGGTGCTGAGCCCGGGATGGCGTTGCGTCCTTCAAACTGATGCTCGGCGAGACGGCTGGGGTCGTCCTCCGAACCAGGCTCTGATCGCAGTGCGCGCCTCAGGCCGTCGCGATAGCCCGTGGCATCCATATCCTCCTCGCCAATGCTTTTGCCGTGAGGGCCTGACTGGTCGCGCAGCTGCGTGTCGACAACGTACGAGGGGGCCGCGCCGCCGTTCGCATGCTGCGCCGCCTTGGGGGCGCTGTGAATGTTTTTGGTGTTTTGAGACGATTCAGACTTCGCGCCGGCATTCTTCGCAAACTCGCCGTCGTTGCGGCGGGATTCGGCAGCGAGGGAGTCGTCGGCGACGATGCCGGCAGGCTCATTTCGCTCGGGAGCCTGGTTACCAAGGCTGACCTGTTCAACATGAGTATGCGTCACATAGGACCAAGGTAGATTTGCATACCTTTGTACCGTGACTGTTGTGAGACATGCTGGAAATATTTTAATGTGGCACGTGTTGAAAAATAAATGAAATGCTGATAAGTATTCACAAAAAGGTCTGCTTCCTAAGTGATGAGATCCTTAAATACCTGCCGCAGCCAACATTTTACCTAGACTCCGAATTTCGAGTGACATCATGGGGGTCCGGTCTTGACTAGAAATATCTGGAGCTTCTCTCGACCTGTCCAGTAATTGAAGGAGGCTTGTTGCTGATACTTCACCGCGAGCCACCAAGATGCTGTAATAATTACATCATGGAGATTCGGTGTTGACAGGTAGAGTGCTGTGAGGCTTATTGGCTTGCAAGCCTCTGGCAATGCTATTGGACCCAGTGATGCTCAACTATGACGGAGTTTCGTGTTTTTTGGGTGGCATCAGTTTCTCAAGCTGCAAAAAAAATTGAAGGAGGCTCGCCAGTCCCTGAGCTTGAGCCCGCTCGGATTATCCAAGCACTCAAGTAACTTCTTGACTGTCCCTTACACGCCGTATTAGTTACGATGCTTGGGTGACAAAAGCCAAATACATCAAGAATTTTTTTTCACGCCGACCCTGCCCGTTCCGAAGCCAAAGGTAATAGCTATAGGTCATTCTCCGCGACGGTGCTTCTGCTCCGGATGATGTAAAGGTGCGTGACGTCACATCGCCGTCACAGCTTTTACGAACCAAAAGGCTCTCATGATAAGTTCAGTCACTCACTGCAGATAATAAATCCAGAAACCATTGTCACTAATTACCTTTGCCCCGGTGAGCGCTCGTCGACGTGCCTGACCGTTGCATTGTTGCGGAGCAGGTGACGGAGCAGCGGGGCCGTTGCCGGGCGCTGCTCGGGCGGCATGCGCTTCGTCATGTGCGTCTCATCAGGAGGCAAATCCCCTCTACAACTCTAGAATGTCAACGAATTTAGGATATCTAACGCAGTTTCAAGCTTTCATCGTCAAAACAACATCATTCTGGTTTTTCTTGCTTGCCAGCGAACTAGTGCGTACCCATCCTCTTGTGGGAGCGCGTCAAGACTAACAGGAGTTAGGTGAATAAAGCATGGAGCACTACACATCGTACTCGGATCTGGATTTCGAGCGCGGATCCTCGAAACCGTGGCATTCAAAGCTTAGTATTTTGCGACGCACGCACGACCTCTGGGATAATGTGCTGGTCGGACTCGGATCATTATACTACAAAGCTTGTGGTCGTTGATTTCAAGCGACGACGGGCTTGACGAAATATTCAAAGGAGCGTGTTTGGTTCAGTAGATTGCATCATTGGAATCAAAGAAGACCATGGCGTTTGAACGACATCTGCATCATTCGCAACGATTATTCATGCCTCTCTATGTCGGCGTAGCAGAGGGCTTGGCGTTTGCCGTTGCTGGTGCTGGCGCTATGAGTGGCATTGACGTTGTACATCTAGAGGATTCATTTGTGAATTTTTCTTTGAGTGAAACTTGTGTCAATATTCAGAAATAGCAAGCAAAACGGATCTCATTCTGAATTGGACATATTTGCTTTTGGGCAGACCCCGTCTCTGGCTCGTGGTCCGTGGCTGTGCAAAACAGTACAAACCAAGGCGTCTGGCCGTTTCCTTTTCTCCGCGCAGATCGCAGTCCTGCCAATTATTTGCATCATTTCCTTTGTCTTTTCCTCGGCAATCTCACTTTTCCAAAAGAACGCAGCCGGCAACCAAACCCCTCCCAACCCCCTGGGGGCGATGCACCGCCCCAGCCAAGACGCCGCGGTGGCCAAGATGCTGATCCCTGCGCTGCCCAGCGGCCAAGAACGATATTTGAAGATCGTAAGTTCGCAGAAGAATAGACAGTTTAAATTATTCTTAGTCAAATGCCCAGACTCGTATTCTGAGATTCTTGGCGGAAGCGCTCAAGTCTACCGGACTCGGCCCCGCGATTGTCAATGTTCGCTTGCAGGATCTGTGCTTTTAAGAAATTTCACATTGATCATCTATATATGCACTTTCTGAGAAAATGGGAGGCAAAGAGTCAAGCTCAACAATCCAGACGGTCTGTAAGCCGCTGTCGTTAATGAGCAAGTACAATACGGAGCTGACTACTCCGTTTACGGGCCAAACAACCTTGGCAAGGCAGACAGAATAAAGAAGCCAATATCACAGTTCTAAAGAGAAGAGCCATAAACCTGTATTAGCTAGCCACCTTGCGCAGCACCACATTGTTCGGCCAAACATCATGTAGCCTCTTTGTGTTTTCGCTCCATCATGCTAAACCTTGACACAAGTCTTCTCTTGTGCTCCAATAGTAGACGCATATGCTCCAAATCTACCCAAGGTTGTCACCGGGTCGCGGAAAACGGGCTGTAGGCCGGAAAAGCCGCGCGCAGATTTCGAATTGTAAGAATGTTCGGCATAGTCCAAGTGTCTCTGTGCTGTAGATGCTGAGCACTCTGTGATATTCACATCATGTTGGCTCTTTGATGGCTTTTTCGATCCTCTAATTTACTGGTAGGTTCCCTCGAACCGTTCAAGATACCCTGGGCGCACTGAGCATGCATCAGCGACCGATACGCGAGCAAGATGGAAAAATGTTGGAGAGAGACAAAGAGCCATGATGAGCTGCATGCTACCGACTGTCATTCACATATCCAGAGACTCTGACATTTGTTTGAAACTCTGAGAAGTGCATATATAATTGATCATTTTTTTTATTGTTGTCAGTGGACTGCGCGGGTACGCTGGCTATGGAGTTTATGGCTATGGAGCCCATGTCAGAGAGACCTACGATGCAAGAACATGCTGCAGTTTTCTATGGAGCAACTCGAGCTACTTACTAGAGCATCAGAGAGGTAGTGTGTGCCTTCGTAAAGGCGTTTTGACGAGCTCACAAGTAGAGACTAATTACGATGACGTCTGCCGATAGGGTGCGGATCATCGCGGGAGAGGCGCCGCTCTCTGATTTGAGGCATGGGCAGAATAAGCCTCTGCTTCCTCTGGCGGCTGAAGGCCGCCCGAAAACTTTATTTGCAAAATCTTGCAAGAGTGTCGCGTTCAATACGACCAGGGCTCAGTAGTTATGAGAGCAAAACAACGACAGCGACGGTCTGGTCGGATGGCCGTCTGCAGCGCGGTTGAGAATGGAGAGCACCAGGCGCAAAATATGATTCCACCTAGTTACATGAATTTTGTTTCTTCCGTTCTTGATTAATTTCTCTCTTCACTGATGCCTCTTGTTTTATGTTTTGCGTATTCTTTCGTTCTATCATCTTTTCTTGATCTTTTTACGCTTATTATTAGTCTTGTGATCACGGTCAGCCTTTTTTTCGGACCCCTTGGGATGGCCAGTAGCGAACTCTAAATTAAAAAACCGGTGTGGTGTGCTTGAAGAAAAGTAGCCATATGGCACAGAGACGGGGAGCATACGGAGTTATTGCGAGTCAAGGGCGTTGCAGAGTGTGCACCAGTCATGACCCCTCTTGCACTGCCCCGATTCAGGCAATAGAGTTGGCGGATGTGGCGGAGAGGGCAATGCTAAGCTGCTGCACAGCCATAAATAAGTTTCGGCAGTGCCTGCATGGAATTCTCAACAGCAGCGCAGGTGGACACTGGTCAATGATTATTTGCACATTCGTGGTTTCACGAGAGGAATACAGCATGACGGGCAATACGAAAGACAGCAGCAAAGAAAGAGCAAAAGTCTAGCAGCAGCACTGCCTGACGCGTAATCTGCCTGCCAACTGCCAACGCTGGGTGTGCCACAAAGAGGTGGATTGACTGCCAAGCGACCAAGATGCGCCAAAAGTTGGTGGTTGGAATGAACTGCGCAGTATGTACCCGCCACAGCTGAGGCGATGGAAAGCTGTTGTTACATGGGCAGGCAGTCTGCCATTCGCTACCGACGGACATTATTTTCTTTCAATTTTGAAACTGGGGGGTTATACTGAATAACAATGGGGTTGCGGGCATGACCGTAGAACAAACGTGAGGTGGTTGAGCGGCTGCAGCGGCTGCACTGATTGGTCAAAGGGGGGGGAGGGACTGAATAGCAAGTTTCTGTCGTCCCGTCAAAAGCAGATGATGATGATACATTGGCACAAGATCTCGGTGGAGAAACACAGGGCAAAGTCGCCACGTTCGCCCCTTTTTCTTTGTGCCCCAAGTGCCCGTGCCCGTGAGTGCCGGTGTCAGTTTGGACTCCGCAATTGAGTCAAGGATTCCAGTACCTTGCATCTGTGGGTCAAGGTGAAGACTTGCAAAATACTGGTAGTAGCCTGCCTTGGCCAAGATTGGCTCAAGAGCAGAGCCTTGCTTGGCGAATGTGCAAACCGCACGTGTTGGACATTGTCAGGGACGTTGAGCGCAGAAAATGAAATTGCAGACCGACTTTGTAATGTCATCGACGTCGGAGGCGGGACAAGGGGTGTGTGTTCCTGGTTGAGCATGTGGTGGTGATTGGAGGAGTTTTGTTGATGGTGGATGGGATAAAAGGTTTGGCAAAGGGCCGTTGCAGGGGGGGAATGGACGATGCTCCAGAGGGTTATAGTGGTTGTAGTGGTGTATTCACAGAAGGCAACAGTGGCTTGCCCGCTGTACCTAACAATGCCCTGACAGCGCGGCTCAGGGGCTTCTCGGCGCAATCAACCACTGTGGGACCGCCCTACAAGGCCCTCGAGCCCTAACTACCTATTCAAATAGTAACTTACTGGCAGAGGCTCTGCTAATTATAGGCAATTAATACAATATCATCACAATCCCACCTGATTAGCCCACGGCGCTCCCTCCTATCCGGCTAGTGCCAGGAGCATGCGGCAGCGCTAGAGCCTTGTCGTCCAACTGTCCAACAGGGCCCCTTCTCCACTTGCCCTGCGGCGCTACCGTCTGGGCTCGAGTCTGGGCTTGTTCGTGGTGTTGCAGACTCGAGCCAACCCTGGCCGCCTGCCAGCCACTGCACAGACTGGCCCCATCCCATCTCTCGTCTGCTGTTTGCTCATATTTGTATTCGTATAGCTTCTCTTCTTTCTCCTTCCTCCTCTTCTCCTTCATACTTGTTTTTCCATCCTTCTCTCGTTTTTAATTTTACTCTTGTTCTACATTCGGGGGTTGGCTTCCTCGTTTGATTTTCGCCGCTTCTCACACTCATTTACACAGACACCACGTTAAAAATTTCCTACTTTTTTTTTCCCACGTCGAATCCGAATATCGTTGACCGAAATCCAATATCTATAACAATCTCGAAGCAATGAAATCCGCCGTTTCTCTCCTCGCCCTCGCGGGTGCGGCTTCTGCTGCCGACCTGCCTTCCATCATCGCCAAGGTGAGACGACACCACCACCCGCGCACACCGCAACTCGAATGCTAAACACTATCGCATATATAGGGCAACAAATTCTTCTACCCCAACGGCACTCAGTTCTTCATGAAGGGTATTGCCTACCAGCGTGATATTGGTGCTGCCGGCGCTAAATCCGACCCGACCGCCAAGTACATGGACCCTCTCGCCGACAAGGACGCCTGCAAGCGCGATGTCCCTTACCTTCAGGATCTCAACATCAACATTATCCGAACCTACGCCATTGATCCCAAGGAGGACCACTCGTACTGCATGGGCCTTCTCCAGGATGCCGGTATCTACGTCGTCTCTGATCTCTCGGAGCCCGCCACCTCCATCAACCGCGATGACCCCCAGTGGAACACGGAGCTCTTTGACCGCTACAAGGCCGTTGTCGACGAGTTGAGCAAGTACCCCAACGTTGTTGGTTTCTTTGCCGGTAACGAAGTCAGCAACTCTGCCAACAACACTGGCGCCTCCGCCTACGTCAAGGCCGCCGTTCGCGACACCAAAAAGTATATCAAGGACAACAGCAAGCGCTGGATCGGTGTCGGCTACGCTGCCAACGATGACAAGGACATTCGCAAAGAAATTGCCGACTACTTCAACTGTGGCAAGTCTGAGGAATCCATCGACTTTTGGGGCTACAACATCTACTCCTGGTGCGGCAAGAGTGACATGCAAAAGTCTGGCTACGACCAGCAGGTCAAGTTCTTCCAGGACTTCAGCGTTCCCGTCTTCCTTGCCGAGTACGGCTGCAACCTGCCCAACGGCGCCAAGGGACGTATCTGGGAGGAAACCGAGGCTCTATACAGCAAGGAGATGACTGATGTCTTCAGCGGTGGTCTCGTCTACATGTACTTCCAGGAGGAGAATGACTACGGTACGTTGCCGACGTAGAAACGAGTGCAAGTTTCAAGCTAATCCTGATGTGTAGGTGTCGTTGAAATCAAGAACGGCAAGGCTGTGGAGCAGGACGATTACGACGGCCTGAAGAAGGCTCACGCTGCTGCCGACCCCCAGGGCGTCGCCATGGACAAGTACACTCCTTCCGGCAAGGCTGCTCAGTGCCCCGACGTCTCCAAGGCTTGGCAAGCTGCTGCTCAGCTTCCTCCTACCCCCGACAAGGATCTCTGCAAGTGCATGGCCGACTCTCTCGAATGCGTCGTCTCTGATGACCTGAGTGTGAAGAGCTATGGTGACCTCTTTGGCAATGTCTGCGGTGCCAACCAGAAGACCTGCGCTGGCATCAACGGCGTTACCAAGCTCGGCAACTACGGTGCCTACAGCATGTGCTCTCCCAAGGAAAAGCTCTCCTATGTCCTCGATGCCTACTACCGGGCTAACGGCAAGTCCTCTGATGCTTGCGGCTGGAAGGGCGCCAAGCTTCAGAAGGGTAGCACCGCGTCCAACTGCCAGAAGAGCCTCAGCGACGCCAAGAACCAGAACAATGCTATCGCCACTGCCACCAGCAACGTTGCTGCTCCCACGTCGAGCGGCGGTAGCAGCAGCGGTGGCAAGAAGGAGAACTTTGGCGTTCGCACTGCTCCCTCTGGCGTCCTTGCTGCTGGTGTTGTCGCCATGGCTGCCCTGCTTGCTCTGTGAGAATATTTCAGAGTCGCAAGCTAAGACAGAGCTGTATATGGGGAGGATTTTGTATTAGATTCATTTTGATGCCACCAGAGGCTTTTATGTATATCAAGCATTTCGTGTTTGGTGTTTTATGGATACCTAATGCTGTGAGAGGTGAACTCGACGGCATTTTATTATGGTTCGAATCTGCTCCGTTGCTTTGTATGTGTTGAAAGCGTGAGACGGCTGAATAGCCACCGTTGCACTGCATACAAAATCTCAGGCGAAAAGTCTCCTGTTGAATAATAAATTTTAATCACGAATTTCCGTTATTTCTAGTACTGAAGTGAGCTGTTCAATTTCCTTGTGTTTGTCAGACTTCTCTCGCGGCTAGCTTAGTCAGATAGGCAGCTCATCGCCACACGTGACTTGCTTGGAGCTGTCGCGGTCGCTGGCGCCTGATGGCTACATGTCTGCATCTCCCGTCATCCATGCCCTTTACATCTCACCCTATCGCAGCGAATTGCATCAACACGACACCCATCGATCCGCAGCAAATTCGAAACTCGCTTCTGGACCTGAAAACAATCATTCGGTGATTTTTGCAAGCCCCTTGAGCTTGACCAGCCAAGATGGTAAGCTTGTTCTGCCGTTGGTGCAACAGTGGTGAGGTAATGTTGGCTAACTGGTGTTGCAGGGTCAAGCACAATCCGGAGGCATGGGAGGTGGAGAGGGACGAGAGGAAAAGGACAAGAAGGTATGCCGAATTTGATTGACGATTCTTTCAATGCATTGACAAGCCTGTGATTAACCCGCGCAAACAGAAGGATAAGCCCAAGTACGAGCCTCCCCCAAGGCCCACGACCCGAGTCGGCCGCAAGAAGCGTAAGCAAGGTGGCACCAGCGCCGCCGCCAAGCTACCCGCCGTCTTCCCCACGAGCAGATGTAAACTGCGTTTGCTGCGCATGCAGCGCATCCACGATCACTTGCTGCTCGAGGAGGAGTACGTCGAGAACCAAGAGCGCCTGCGCAAGGCCAAGACAGCCAAGGAGGGCCAGGTTGCCACCTCGGAAGCCGATGCCGACCGCAACGCCGATGAACGCAGCCGGGTCGACGACATGCGAGGCAGCCCGATGGGCGTGGGCACGCTAGAGGAGCTGATTGACGACGATCACGCCATCGTTAGTAGCACGACGGGACCTGAATACTACGTCAGCATCATGAGCTTTGTCGACAAGGACCTCTTGGAACCCGGCGCCAGCGTTCTTTTGCACCACAAGAGCGTCAGCATTGTCGGCGTGCTCACAGACGATACAGATCCGCTTGTCAGCGTCATGAAGCTGGATAAAGCGCCGACGGAGTCATACGCCGACATTGGTGGTCTCGAGCAGCAGATTCAGGAGGTGCGAGAGTCTGTCGAGCTGCCGCTGTTGCACCCCGAGCTGTACGAGGAGATGGGTATCAAGCCGCCCAAGGGTGTCATTCTGTATGGTGCACCGGGTACTGGTAAAACTCTACTAGCAAAGGCTGTGGCAAACCAAACATCAGCGACTTTCTTGCGCATCGTGGGCAGTGAGCTGATTCAAAAATATCTTGGTGACGGTCCTCGTCTGGTTCGACAATTGTTCCAGGTAAGAAGATTGGGTACGATGGTTCATTGCAGAAGCTGACTTGATTAGGTTGCTGGCGAGAATGCGCCGTCTATTGTTTTTATCGATGAAATCGATGCTATTGGTACGAAGCGATATGACTCTACATCAGGCGGTGAGCGTGAAGTGCAGCGAACGATGCTGGAGCTGCTCAACCAGCTCGACGGTTTCGACGACCGCGGCGACGTCAAGGTCATCATGGCGACCAACAAGATTGAAACGCTGGACCCGGCGCTGATTCGGCCGGGCCGTATCGATCGCAAGATTTTGTTTGAGAACCCCGACACCAACACGAAGCGCAAGATCTTTACGCTGCACACGTCCAAGATGAATCTTGGTGACGACGTGGACCTGGAGGAGTTTATCTCGCAAAAGGACGACCTGTCGGGCGCTGACATCAAGGCCATTTGTTCCGAGGCGGGCATGATGGCGCTGCGTGAGCGTCGTATGCGCGTGCAAATGGCGGATTTCCGCACGGCCAGGGAGCGCGTGCTCAAGACGAAGCAGGAGGGCGAGCCGGAGGGTCTGTACTTGTAACTGGGAGTGTACGACTAGTGGCACGGTGGTGGAGGTTTTTGGTACATGTTAATAGAGATGCTTTGAAGTGCGCTTGACGTGAACTCAGTTGTGACTGAACGTGAGTGGATGTGAGTGGACGCTCCAATGGTGACTTGTAAAACGCCCGACATAAGTTTGTGTGTACGAGCTGAAATTAATTGTACTAGTTTTTGAAGCAGTCTGCCAATTTGGGTATTTCTATCATTGCTCAATCGTCTTTTCATCATAAGTGCAAGTTTTACTTCCCACTACCATGTCAACACATGGCTTTTGATCCTTGCCCTTCACCTTGATCACCTATGCGACTACGACAGTCGCAGGAGCTTCGTGCCCATTTCCATGCCCATTCGCCGCCTTCTTCTCTGGGCGACTCTGCGGTACCGGCGGCGGCTGTTGCTGCTGCTTGATCTGCTTCTGCGCCTTTCCATCCTTTTGCTGCTGCTGCTGCTGCTGCTGTTGTGCGCGTCCCGCCTCCCACGCAACGACGGCGCGGTACGCGGCGCGCCCGACGACGAAGCTGCCCGCCGCCCAAGCCCAGACGAGGAGTGCGAGCAGGGCCGAGACACCGAGGGTGGGCACGAGGACGAGCACGCCGAGGGCGAGCCAAAAGAGTGCAAATGAAATGGTGCCGCCGACAGCCATGGCGGCGACGGAGACGGCAAAGAGGGCAAAGAGCAGCATGGGCAGCGCGGAGAAGCAGACGAGGGTGGCAGCGGCAGACTGGTTGTTTTGTGTGTCAGTTTCTTTGTCTATTTGCTTTGTTTCAAACATTGAGAAAGAGGGGGAAAAAAAGGAGACAAGCAGAAAAGGGAAAAAAAGAAAAAAAAACATACAAAAATCAAGGGCCGCGTAGAAGCCATGGCGTACGAGGCGTCATAGGCCCGGAGCCGCGTCTCGGGCTCGACAACAAGGTCGAGAGAGCGCTGGGCGTAGTGGTAAGCGCCAGCGGCGCGCTGTCGGACGCTACTGGAGAGGGACTGCGAAGCCGACATGCCGGGCGGATGCGTTGCCGTTGTGTGATTCTATTAAATAGAAAAAAAAAAACACAAACTCGACGTGCTCGCGTGTTAGAATGCCGAGGTCAAAGGTTGCTGTCGACGGCGGGTGGGTTTCTGAGATGTGGAGAGCAGACAAGACCCTTGGGGGATTTTCCCGCTGGGTTGGGTTTTGGGGGGGGGGGGGAATGGAATTCGGAAACCAGACCGTGGTGGGGGGTTTGCGGGGATAACTTTTCTGACGGCCGAGTTTGAGAGGAAGATTTTGAATGGTGGGAGAATTGAAAATGGATTGATAAAGTCCGGATGGTGAAATGGAGGAAAGGGAGGAAGGGCATGGGATGGGAGAGGGGTGGCAGGGTGATTCGGGATGGATGATGAGGCGAGCAGGCTCGGCTGTGCAAGTGAGTGCAGGTGCAACCATTTCGCCGGTCGAGAGCGGCCAAAAGAAGGACGCCAAAATCAGATGTATACCGGCGTAGGATGGGAGAAAAAGTAGTATATTGCAATTGTTAATCACTATTCTGTTTAAATTTAGAAAAAGGTCCATCCAAGTGCTGCGCTTTCGTCACCATCATGGCTCGAGATGCTTTGCAAGGTAAGTATAAACAAGCACCGCCTTGGTGGGCTGTGGGCCCTGTTGCCTCTCTAAACATGTACTTTTTTAAAAGACAAATTCGCTACGGTGTTCTCATTGAGGCTGGGCGAGAAAAAAAAACGACATTGGCAATATTTCGTGTCATCCAAACATGACACCGCGTCATCGAGTTCTCTCAACTTGGCTGCCGGCATTTGTGGAGGCTGTGCATAACCTTTCCTCGACTTAGACGTCTGCTACCAGGGCTCTCTGCATGTCGGAAGCAATTCCCCCAAACATTCGCTGCTTTTACCATTCTTGCCCGTTAAACATTGTGGGAACTTGAACATTTGACAAGGGAACTTGTGCGCGGTGGAAAAAAATTCCATCGTGGCATTATTCAGGCCCGGAAGTGGCGCCGCGTGATCTCGATTGCCGAGTTTTCCTCCTCCTGCTGCTGCTGCTTGTTGCCGAGGGGAGTGAGTGGTCCGTTGCATAAGAGAAGAGGGCAAATGGGAGCTTTATTTTCTCTCTTTTTGTCAATATCGCACGAAGGAAAAAAAAAAGGCCCTTTTCAGGAGAGTCTATGTGGAAAAGAGAAATAGAGAACAGTCATGGTAGAAACAGATGGGCTGCCTGCGCATTGGCAGAGAGAGCGTTTCATCGTGGCACCAATCAATGTTCGGAAATAGCTGGGCGACTTTGTCTTGAGAAAGCCAACAATCTGGCATTCTGCACAAAAACATGCGTTGGACTTGACAAGTTCCATATAGAGTTGCGTTTCTATAGCATGGCCCCTCCACCCAATTGATAGGAAGAAGCCACTCTGTATGGGATACCGCAGCGACAAGGCACTTTTTTCCTTATATACCCTTGAATTTAGGTGCAGTTACTAATTATAAAGAATCAAGTCTCCTTGAACGGTTGCTTGGCTCGCACTTTCCAGTCTCTTATATACTGAGTCAAGCTTCATGTACCCTCGTGTTGTCTCTCCCAAGGTCCGTCCCAGTTCTGGTGAGCATTGACTCCTTACACGGCCACGTCTTTGCGCTGGCTCCTCATCCTACTCTTCGCGTCATCACAGCATGGTATCAAAATCCTTGACTGATGAGATATTCCTGTGATTGCTATTCCAGAAATTGACTACCTTGACTCTTGCTTGGCAACTGCTTTTCCTCCACCATGCTTCATGAGCTGTTGCATCACCAGTTTGCCAAAAATCCCATTCCCAGCTGCTGCCCTCCTCATCTTCTCCGTGACAACGATCCGGTCCCCGTACTCTCCGAGCAGCATCTCGACCATATCATTTCCATACTTCATGTTACCTGCCGCTGCCACCATGACGTCCTCTGAAATGACCGTTTCGTCTGCTTTGTCTTGCGCCAGGAGCGACTTCATAACGTCGAGTCCCCAGTCGTCGTTTCCGGCGATAATCTTGAGCATCCATTCGTCCACGGGGATCCTGCCTGTGCATCGGCTGAGCAGCTGCTTCATCACATACCTCCCCGACTGTTTGTTGCTTGCCGCCGCCCTGACCAGGCTTTCGGTCATGGTAATGTCCTCGCCACGCTGGCCCAAGACGATCTTGACCGCTTGCCCACCATCCATGTTCCGAGCAGCTGCTTCCACAATTCTTTCGGTAATGACGATTTGATCGCCGTATCGATCAAGTAGGAGTGCTAGTGCATCCGGCCCGCAACCTCTCCAGGCTGCCGCTACCACCAAATCTTCGTTGATAGCCACGTCGTTTCCGTATCGGTTCAGAAGGAGACCTAGTACCTCTTCACCATCAGGGCTCTCTGCTGCCGCTTCGGCCACCTTGGCCGTGATGACTACATCATCTCCATATCGATCGAGAAACGGCCTCATCAATTCGGACCCAAGCTTTCGCACAATTTGTGTCGTCACATCCTCTGATATCGCGACATCATACCCGCCCTGCCTCCAGATTTCGGCCATTATGTGCCATTGCTCGGCCTTTTCTCGTGGAGTGTATCCGGTCTTCTCCAAGAGCCACCAAGACTGCTTCCTCTCTGACCGCTCACTCGCAGTCTGCCTAAGCTTCGGCAGATCAACCGCTGGCAGTGAGATGATCTCCTCACGCGTCATTGCGTAGAATTTTACTGCTGTCCGGAACGAAGCGGCGGCATCCTCAAATCTCTCCGCATGGGCAAGCAGCACTCCAATGCCCACCAGTCTGTTCCCCTTTTCCATCAAACTGCCTTTTGTTTCTATTTCCTCGTCTGTCAAATTTCGGTCATGGATAAAGTTTTTGTAGTCATCATTACCCTTTTTCGGCTCGTTCCATGACACTTCCCAGTCCCAAATCAGTACGAGGTCGTGATGAAACGTCTTTATGCGCCCCAGGAAGCCCGGCCAGTCGAGGGGCTGACTCTTTGGTGGCTCAGAAATCTTGGGAGACACTGCAATCGCAACAATGACGCAGTAGTCCGCAGCCGGTCGAACAATGGTCGCCCTCGCAGCTCCTTCCAAAAGACAAATAATGTCGCCACTCTGTATCGGATTCGTAGCGGCTTGAAGAGTCCAGCGACCATAAGAAATCCCCGTAAAGTAGAACTCCGACTTTGAATAAAGTACCACGTCCACACTTTGGCTTGTATCCCAAGGGTATGTACTTGACAACGAGGACACCTTGCCAAGGACGTGAACCTTGCTTTTGACTATTGCAATCTCTCTATTCTCCCAGGTTCTAATAGATGCCTGCTCTCCAATCAAGTGACAAATAAGTCGACAGAAGCAATCCTTCCACGTAATCGTATAATCAGGCAGCAAGGCGGTAGGTGCATCTTTGCTCATTCCCAACAATGCATACACCTTGTCGCGTTTATCCGTAGCTTTACGATTGTGAAACATGTCCACCAGCTCTGCGAGAGTGCAAATGTTGAGAGAAAAGGGGGTTGAGAAGCCAGTCAACTGCTTGGGTCTGAGGCCTGCAGATTTAATCAGATTGACAGCGGATGCCAGCCGCCTCTGCATAGAAGTGTCTTCAAAGGTGATGTTCAGTGCCTGAAGCCCCGTGCAGAATGCGTATCCATCAATGACACAGTCGCCGCACATGACCAGAACTTGTCGAGCCGCAGCAACCTCTTGAAGTACCTAGTAAAGCAAATTAGCAACAGCCAGTGAATGCCTCATCGGTATAGCGTCTCACCCAGACTCGCTCGAACCACGAGCCTTGGAGAATGGCACAAATTGCCGGATAATCCACCCGCACATCTGAAAATTTCGTCAAAGACTTGGATCGGCCGTTTGCCGCGTCGCTCAGCTCTTCAAGCGCTCCATGTCCAGCCTTGGGCGACTTTGCGTCCCTCGTGCAATCACCGACAGCTCCATGTTCAAGCCAAACAATCACACGGCTAGCCCTGGCGTAAATTTCCGCCATGTACTGGACTTGGCGACTGCGCTCTTCCAGATCATCTTGGTTAATACACACCGCATCCGCCCATAGTATTCTTGGGAGTGCGCAATCTCGAAGTCCCAACAAAGCGCTGTACAGGTTCCTGGTGACGTACAGGTCCCCGTCATCCGTGTTAATAAGCTCAGACCTTACGGCAGACCCCCATACATAGGATAGAGCCTCGTAGAGATGAGTGCCGCTCACGGAGGTGGAGAGACGGTATTCGAAAAGCTGGCATTGTATGGGAGCACGTTGATCGGCGTGAGGTTGCAGACGAAGCAAGCGTATAGAGCCGACCGACAGAGCCGAGTATTGGTATGTAGACACCGGGATGACGCTTGGGCTTGTGGTGATGCTCATAATGATAAAATTGAGGAGGTCGGTTTTGCAATCCAATTAGGGTTGCCATGCCATGCATGGAGTTACGGCTGGACATTCATCCGCGTGCTATAACACGGCCGAGAGTACGACCACATGACCACAGCCGAGACCTTGTGCTTGTAGGCCTCTCATTAGAGCAAGGCTGGACATCTCATGCGCTGATAGTATGCAGCTCTGATGGTACTGTGAAATTTTCTTGGCGAAATCTCCGCGTTTTCAGGATGCAACCTGGCCCTTATCCGCAAGACTTATTGCTGGCAGGCACGCCCGCCACTGGCTCTAACCACCCACGGATAGCTTCTTCTTTCAGCATCATCACATTCATCCATGTTCTTTTGCTTTGCTCATTGCTCATGTCTCGCCCGACTCACGATGCCCTCGTCTCTCTGATTTTGTCACACTGGTTACGTCTTGTCGTGTTAGTCAGGCCCACAAGTGAGATGAACCACAGGCTACGCCTGTATACGTGACTCGACAAATTATGAGAAGAGCAAAGATCCTCCGCCAGATCTCTCAGTAGCACCTCTTTCTCACAAGAACCGCGCTGCCTCATCATGGCCTCCCGCCACAGCGCTCTGCAACGCACTCTGCGCCCGCCTTCGCCTCAAACTACACGCATTTACATCCGCACCAGCAGCCAGCAGCAGCAAAGGTCATTAGAAACCGCCAAGGTTTAGTACAAGCAGCAAAGGTTTCTGCAAACAGCAAAGGTTTATTATAAGTGGCAAAGGTTTATTATAAGTGGCAAAGGTCGTTGCAAACAGCGAAGATCATTGTGAAAAGCGAAGCTTTGCTACCAGATCGGCAACGGTCGAGGTCGCTACACTATCTACTCTCCAACGCAAGGTACCATCCCAGTAAATAATAAGAGGCAAGGACAAAACTAATTTATATACACTGCTATACTAATAATTCTAACTTTTTAAATTCTGGGTCGCCGTTATACTGTATAGCAAAATCTTACATCTATGTTACGTAGTAAACGGCATATACTCTACCTAGCGACATTAGCAAATCGGCAGTTGATGTGACCATGAGGTAAGGAAAAGTGTAGTTTACTGTCTTGGCTATATAAGTACGAGCAACCACCTGATAAGACATACCTTGGTCAACTACACTCTACATTCTTCTTTAACCAGACTCTTTATGAGCAATCAAACCTAAAAACTCCCGTTCAAATACACAAAATGCCTTTCCCTGGCGGCCAGTTCATCATCCGCAACCGCGCAAACCATCGCGTGCTCGACGACAAGGACATGTCCACCAGGCCCGGCACTTCTGTCATTGACTATGACTACAAAGAGCACGGGGATAACTCTAACCAGCACTGGGTTTTCGAAAACGGCCGCCTACGCAACGAGCACTCAAGACTCTACCTCACCTTCAAAGACCTCAGGCCCGAGTCTCTCGCCACGCAGGAGCCGCCTAGCAACAACTGGGAGGGCCAGAAATTCGAGTACAAGGACGGCACTCTCAGCGTTGTCGACCATAACGACCGAGTCGTCGGTGCGTGGGACCAAGACGTCAAGATTGTACGACCCGATCCTTACGATAATGCCCGCCGCTGGGACTTTCGTTGATTGTTGAATCACTTTGTCCTTTTTAAAATTGAAACAAGGACCGCTAAAGGGTATTAAATTGATGGACCCTGCTCAGACTTAGTTATCCCGTTATATTGGAATTTCATCTATCCCTACTCTGTCTATGCAACTTAACTTTGTCTATGCAACTCTGAGTAGTTGATCTCATCTGCTAAAGTCTGGCCAGTCCTAATGATTCCTGCAGCCGTGCACATGTCTGCGCTCTAATAAGGGCTATTCAGGTTATCGTATAGATAATGAGAAAAATGAGAGTCAAGCTCATCAAGAGAAGAGAAGAGAAGAGATCCTCGGCCGTCCAGCTGTAGCTCGGTCACAATCTCGCAAACAGAGTTGGCTTAATGAGCCATAGAAACGTCACTTTGCAGTCTACTAATTACTTCTGGAATGGTGATCGCGGCTGAGGAATGGTACCCCGCATCGATGTGTTAATTTTGTCGCCGGAAACGTCTACTACCGGCATCGACGGATACTAAAGCACAGTTTACGCTATAACTATAATACCGGTGTCTAAGTACGGATAATGGGCCGAGCGTAACGCGGCTATCATAGGCCGAGACAAAACTCTAATATCACTATTTATAAGCGCCTTGAAGATGGCCTAGAGTCATTCATTGATGGAATATATAAAGTTATTGATAAATGAGTAAAATTTGTATCTATGTAATCTAATAAAATACAAGGTTAGATGATAGCGCAACAGACAATTATTCAAAGAGAAGGAGAATCAAAGAGAAGGAAAATCTGTAGCAAATTGCCGCTGCGGCCATGGACTTTGGTGGCACATTTGTCTGGCATCGCGCAGTCAGGTCCAGTGTAAGCGGTGCGTGAGTTTGTCC